TTATCACGCATAGAAGAGATCGACCTTTCAGAAACCTCAATAGACTATAATCAACTCGCTCAAGACCAGGAAAACGACTCAGAACTACAGAGATACATGTCACATCCAAACCTACAGTTCACCAGTATTTCACTACCCGGAGGTCAACGACCGCTTATCTGTGAAACATCGACAGGCAACATTCGTCCGTATTTACCCGCGAAATATCGTTTTGTCGCATTCAAAGCGCAACACGATTTAAGTCACCCAGGCGTGCGTACTACGAGAAAAATAATATCGACGAAGTTCTTCTGGCCGAACATGAATAAAGAAGTCGGAACATGGGCAAGAACATGCATCGGTTGTCAGCGAGCGAAAGTACAGCGGCACACTATCAGCCCGCTCGGCGAGTTCGGAAAATCCCAGCGTTTCGAACATATTCACGTCGACATCGTGGGACCACTGCCGCCATCAAATGACTACCGATATCTAGTTACGATGATTGACCGCTGCACAAAATGGCCTGAAGCTATACCAGTACGCGATATCACCGCCGACACGATCGCCAAGGCTATCTACGACGGTTGGATATCGAGATTTGGTTGCCCGCTACGACTTACGACCGACCAAGGAAGACAGTTCGAGTCGTCACTGTTTAAGGCGCTTATGAAGAAATGTGGAATAAACAGAATACGCACTACTGCTTTCCACCCTCAAGCAAACGGACAAGTCGAGCGCTGGCACCGTACTTTGAAGTCAGCACTCATGGCGAGATGCGCGCGCACAAACTGGAGCGACGAGTTATCAACTGTGCTACTCGGCCTACGTACAGCATTACGTCAAGACAATGAAGTCAGCCCGGCACTCATGACCTACGGTTCAACACTCCGCGTACCATCTGATTTCTTCGTGCCTACTCAGCCGAACATCGATGACGCCGAATTCGTCCGTCAGCTGACCGAAACGATGTCTACATTATCGCCGAACAGCAAGCCACACTCAAACTCCACAAGGTCATTTGTACACAAAGACCTTGCTACGTGTACACATGTTTTCGTGCGCAATGACACCGTGCGCAGCCCACTAGTACCTCCCTACGATGGCCCCTACAAAGTACTTCGGCGCGACAGCAAACATTTCACCATACAAATGTATCCCCGTACTGCAGTTGTTTCAATAGACCGACTCAAACCAGCATACTTACTCAACGAAGACGACACTCTATCAACATCAGTTACGCGCCAACAACAAGACAAGATACCTACAACGACTTCGCGCCAACAGCAAGACTATGTACCTACTGCAACTGCGCGCGAACAAACATCGAACTATCTACCTACAACTACGAGTAACGACGCACGGACAATGTCCTTCACCCCACCCCGCGACGCCTACGTCACCCGCACCGGCCGTACAGTGAAACCAAACGTACGCTTCGCTTAGGGGGGAGTGATATAGCGGCATACATACATACCTACCTACATTCTATGGCATAACCACCACACCTCATACCTATTACCAGATTACCTTTACCGTACCTCCTTGAAGAACCAGATTACCTTTACCATACCTCCGTGAACAACAAACCAATACCAACGTTTTTGACTTTCTGTGATCAGAAACAGTGAAACAAGCCGCCTTGAAAAAGGCGTTTCAAACGTTTTAGACTTCTGACAGAAACTCGTCTTGAAAAAGACGCTTGTAACGTTTTAGACTTCTGCTGACAGAAACTCGTCTTGAAAAAGACGTTTTAAAACGTTTTTGACTTCTGCTCAGAAACGAAATATAATGAGCAAGCAAATAAGCAGGCAAGCAAGCAGAAGCGAAGCCCGAAGAACACGGAGGCACGAAGTTGCGGTCCACGACACTGGACACGTCTGTAGTCGTCGGCGGCACCGGAGCGAAAGGACGCGTCGCGCGGCACGCGCCCTATTATAGCCTCGCGCTGTGCTCGCGACATCGCGACGAACGGCGACCGCGACGGCGCATGCGCGCAGCCGCTCCGTCGAGCCTTGCGACGAACGCGCGCTGCTATTGGTCAATTGTATTTACATATGTGTGATAGTGTATAAGTTAGCCATAAGACATGTAAATATAAGTAGGGATATGTTGCCGATTAAAGCATTCCAAACCACGACAGCCTCGAGTTAATTACAAGAAGAAACCCTGCTCTCACTCCTAAATAGGTTTCAATCTAAAGATTTTGAATTAAGTAAGATCGCTTATTAGGTAACTATGGTGGTAACTCCACTCCTCAATATTTTTGCTTGGTAGTTTGATTCAGGGGTTTTTGGGCCTTTTCTTTGGCTCGCTCTATCAGTTCTATTCTGCCTACCCTAATGATAAATGAGAAAGGCGTCAGGATTAATGTACTTAATTAATAAATAGGTATATACGTGTAAATGGGATGTCTTATGGACGATACATAAACATAAGTCACATCTAACAGGTTAAAATAGCCGTACAATCAATCAGCTAGTCCTTTCATCTCAGTACAATTTAAGTAGCCGTTAATTTCCGATGGCAATAGTGCCGTTCACAGTTCTAACCTAACCTTACTTACCATTCTAGTAGCAACACGGTTTTCATGACAATCCCTTCACACTTCAACTTATAGCCTGACTGAGAAATTCTGCCATTCAATCAACCGACTAGTCATTTAGGCCGCTGGTCGGATGTCTATTTCGAATATTTGGCTGCGACACGTATACTATATGTAGTAAGTATATTATAAGGGAATAGCGCAAAGTTTTAAGCATGTATAAACCGTAGTGCGTAGCGCGTAGTTACTGGTCCGTAGCGTACATATACACCGTAGTGCGTAGTGCGTAGCGCGTAGTTATTAGTCCGTAGCGTATAAACGGTAGCGCGTAGTGCGTAGCGCGTAGTTCGTAGTTCATGTATTGTAGATCGTAGCTCGTAGCTATTGGAACGTAGCGCATAGTTCGTAGCCCATTCGTAGTTCACAGTGTGCCTTGCAGTTCGTAGTTCACAGCGCGTAGCTCCTAATACTTCATCGTCGTCTCGTTCATCGTTTTCTCACTTTTAATCTAGCTAGGACATGAGCACTACGAACTACGAACTACAACTTTAGTATTTAGCTCCTTTAGATTCATACCTATTTTAGGGTTGAGAATGTAAAATGTTAATGGGGTGTATTTTTCTTGTTTATCCGACGTGAATTTTAAAAGTCCATTCTCTTTCTTGGTTATCTTTTATTTTTATTTTACTTATTTATTATTGCTGTCTTATTTGCCTTAATGTGGACCCCGCTTGAACACTAGCTCCGGTATGATTCGGCCGTCTAATCGGAGCTATACCACTGACTGACAGGGACCCCGCGTGAGCAACGCAAGCGTCGTGTTTCGCCGTGTGAGGTTACTGGAGGCTCAATTCTAAAATCCTTACCACCCAAAAGGATGGCGCCGATTGCTTACCATCAAGTGAACTGTCTGCTTGCTTACCGTCCTATGTCATATAAATTATACTGAAGTTAACACTACAAACTAGTTAATACTACAAAGAGAGAGCTACCAAAGCCTGCCAGAGCATTATTCAAACCTAAATCTTGACTTTTATCTGTCGTGACACACTTACGTATACTTACTTGAAATTGCTTGAAACCGGCAAGCTGTCTCCTCTTTCTGCAAAGCAGTGATGCTCGCAAAGAAGGAGGTACCTGAAGGAACTACCTTCCTCACGCCCCTGCCGCTTCAGTCGGAGACATACCGGGCACAGGGTAACGAACGACGAACTCCGGCCATCATAAGTACGGGTCTGCAGACCAGAGCCATTAGACCACAACAGATGGGGCCGAACGGGGCAAATGATCATCCGGAGCAGGCTCTCTGGAGCGGGAGAAGGAACGGGGTGGTTTTAGTCAATAATAGTTTGATACTAGCTTCCTAGACGCTAGCTCTTACCTCATCATGGACCTATACGCTACATACTATACCTACACTACATGACTTCACTATATTGTGTCTAAGAACGTATTAAAAAATATTATGACTATAGCAACATTTGCAAGACCCAAAGTACCTAATATTTCTAACAAATCAGTCAAGAGATAATTTAAGGAATGAGGTTTGATTTACTTAAAGGCCTGAAACACGTATTTTAATATTCAAACACATGGACTAACACATACACATTTTTAAACTTACTGAAGTCTCCTACAAATGAACAAATTTACGGTAGTTCACGGTACCTAATAGGTAAGGAATCTTAAAATAAGTATCAGTTTAGCAACTTGGGTTCACAAAACTCAATAATACCGAGTGAATAGCTAATCATTCTGAATGAAGCACATTACAACGCGACGTCTTCACAACTTCAAGCAATTGGCTGTAGGTAAGTTTATTTTAAATTTTGATAATCTTATTAAGGTCTAGATTAGAAGTAGTTAGTATTAACATTTTTCGTGAATATTTCCCCAACTAGGCTATCTATGACAGAACTGACAAAATTTATTCACTGGAATGTAGTTTTGTAACAGAACAGTACCAGGTACCAGGACCTATCTACTAATTACCTATCTGAATACCCTGATTGTCTTATAAATCCAATAATTCATAGTTAGTTATGTCGCATATTGATTTGAGGTGATGATAACAAAGTTGTAAACATATATAAATTCACACATCGGTGTCCACAAATCGTGAATCATTCCCATTCTGATATGATCAGATTGTAACAGCTGAATCTTCCTCATGAGATTGCCTTAATCGATTCTAAAATGACATCCACAGCTCACAGGAAGTGATGCGGTGAACTATTCTCAACCAAGGCCAGGCAGGAGTAATAAATGATTCTGTTAGATTTTCCACTGCAGTTGTTGTATCTTCGCATTGTTTTGTTGTCAAAGGCTCAAAAGAAACCCGGCGATTGTTGTTTTATTTTACTTAGAACCGGTAATCTGCTGTACGGCATGGATGAAAACAAAATAGTTTGAGAATAGTTGTCCGTTTGACCCGAAGATCCACGAATCCGTAGCGGGAAGCCCGCGAGTCGTCGGTCAACACAGATATGTGCACAATATGTGTGTACTTAAGCCGTTCGCGAGTGGCGTGCTATCGAGTTTCGCGGCGGCCGAGGACGAGCACGCACGCTCCCCACACGCGCTCCAGTGACGATACACCTATTGCTGAGTGAGGGTGGACGTGGAACGTGCCAGAGACTGAGGGACAATTGGTGCAATCATCTCGTTGAGCGTAAACAAACGAGTAAGTACGGGTCCGCCTTTATGTAACCAGAGTAACAACGTATCGGCTGAGTAGCTGCCGGTATTTGAAAATATCATTGTTTTGTTGTTATTATTTGTGAGTATATCTAGGTAAACGATTGATTCCGCGAACACCTAACAGTATCGTAACTGTCCGAACGGGAACCGGTCGTCATTGTGACTACGTAAGTACCTAATCATCGAGTTCATGCATGGTTGCTAGCATTCTTTCCATTCGAGAATCTGATGGATTATTGTTTTGATATTTCGACACTATCCCTACAAACATATGGCGGTGTCTTGTATAGGTAGTTTATACCTTAATAATCTCTAAACTGATAATTGTTATTTGTTTTACGAAATCATATTCTTCTATCAGTTAGTATTGCTTTGCTTTACTTAAATACAAATAACTATGTACATAAGCCATGGACACAGGTGTGAGTTCCACATTCTTATAGTTATATAGCTAGTGTGTTCGTAACTTGTTTCCGATGGAGCCAGCGGATGTCAAATATTGTATTTACTGCCTTCTCGATGGCTTTCTTTACGCTTTTAGGTAGAATTTATAAATTTTGTTTTTGTTTGTATCTTGTACCGTGCACAAAATCATAAGAATTTTAATCGAATACCACGAAGTTATTTTGATACTTTAAACTTAATGCAAAAATGTGTAACAGGTCCATCAGACCTTCAAAACCCCACTATCTCCATTGGGGGATTAATAGGACATTAGATATCTTGAGTGCATTAGCTATATAGAGCGTAATTAATGAGTGTCATCGAAATATAGTCCATATCAGATTTTTATAAAAGTCTACAATGTCTAAGTCTACAATGTTTCTGAAAAACTTATAAATAATATCTGAAACTTCTATGGACTCAAAGCGGGATAAATAACTGTAAAAGTCCTAATCGTTAATGAAGTAAGATATCTGCTTACCATCAGCGAAGTGAAACAAACAAATGGGCGGTGTGTTTGTAAATATGTACTTTGTAAGAATGCTGTTACAGGAATGTAGCTAGATAGCAGAACCACCCTTTGTCCAACTCGCAGCAAAATACCTAAAGAATTATACACCGTTTGACTTGCTGCATCAATGGATTTTTAGTTTAAGTTTCTTTTTGTGAATTTGGTATTCGATGCAGGTACCTGGTTAGGTAGTTTATAAAGGATCTTCGTTGACAACAAAGTATAGCATGATTTACATAGTTCGACCTAATGATTCGAGTTTTCGGTGGATCTTTAACAACAACGGACTTTTCTCTTTTATTGAAAACAACGACTTATTTACGTAAATAAACAGAATAGCTCTACTAGTTTCAAGTCACAATGGGATTCTTATTCATGAGAAACGTGCGCGTGTCGGCGACGTCGCGCAGCCAAGCTTTTTCTAAAGATTTTGTTAGGTAAATTAGGTAATATAATGTGCAATTGCAACCTTTAAATAAATTTGATTTGTTCTTTGTTAATTGCCATGTATTTACGGATATTAAGAACACAGACAATTTCACGCAGTCTATCTGCAATCATCAATCTAGCTAAGTTACAGCAATTAGATTCGTATACTGCTATACCTAGGTACCTAAAATTAATTATAACAAAATAGGTTTCCGTTTTATTGGAGTGGATGTTCATCTACTACTCGATAATGACTAGACTAGAGAAAACGATTGTATAAATCGTTTTGTATAAATTTGTTGATTGTATAAATTGTATAAATGTTATAAGCTAATAAAAATAGCAACTGTGTTTTTAATTAATATAAAAATCGTGACTGAAACATAAAAGGATTTAATCTAAAATTGAAAAAAAAATCTATAGAAATAGGATGCTTATTTGAAAGAAAAAAAGTAAATCATTAATCATAAAGTTTACGTACCAAGGTATTCAAAAAGGAATTAAATGAAATTTTTTTTTTCTGTCCGGACCATCTAACTAATAGGGTAAGTTTTAATACGAGTAGGATAATTAGTAGTAGAATCGGGAAGAGACTTCTCTTTTTGGCGCTCATCACTGAAGACACTAAAGATGTAAGAAATGTATTTATGTAACTTACATAATTTATTCTTACTTCATTTATTATACATTCCACTTTTATTTCGTGATAATATTAAGGGGGCTGCAAGGTCGAGGTCTTTAGGTGACGACTTGCGATTGTCAAGTTATGTTATCATTTACCTACTAACGCTAGCACAATACCTTCTGCAATCTGTCTTGACTCTTAAGATTTTGTTATATGGTTGAAAATCCATGTTTGTTCTTTCCTTTCACGGGACCACAGGGTCCCGGACCTTTGCATACGAGGAGCCGAAGCCAACTCGCAGAGGCCCGTTGAACAATTTTAATCTAAATGTGATGGGACATCAGCCGGCAATTATCCCTGTATGCACTATAAAAGTGCACCCAAGGACAATCCCCGGTTGATGCAGGACTATTGCAAAATGTGGTAACAATTGATAGGGTTATGGGTATGGGTTGTTATGCACTAGTGGATGAAAACTATGGAAATACTATGAAAATCCATTATTATTATTATTTGTATGTCTTTACCAATCACGGGATCACAGGGTCCCGGTCATTTGGGAGGCGTACGAGGGGCCGGAGCCAACTGCGCAGAGGCCCTTTAGACAACTTTAATCTAAATGAAATGGGACACAAACCGGCGACTATCCCTGTATGCACTATGGAAATACACCCAAGGACAGTCCCTGGTTAGTGTAGGACTATTGCGGATAATGGAAACAAGGGATAAGACTATGGGTGTGGGTTGTTATGGACCGGTATGATGGGAACTATGGAAGGACTATGGCACCTGCCGAAACAATGTAATTTATACACGTAAAAATATTATAGTTGGATGTACCTATCTACTTGGAGTCTATAACCTTTGGAAAATTTCCAATGACATCTTCCGCCCTCAGTGGTAGGTGAAAAGCCGCGCCGGCTAGCCCTTATGGATCGCAGTTTTGGTGGTCTGGCTTTTTTGCGCGGCGAGCTATTATTACTCACCGTCCACCGACCAAAACATCCCTTGGTGATCCTCTTCACTAAACCCGTTCGCAATGACTTACAATCGCGACTTGATCCAGTAGCCGAAGCAATGAAGATTAATGTTATAATCTTCTGCAAGCTTCTCCTTAAATAATATCTTATTTATATATTATTCTATGCACAGCACACATACAGTAAATATAAAACATAAATCAGAAACAGAGGTAGGGGAGAGTCGGGTAGCCACGGACACATAAACAAAACTCAAAATATTTTTTATATGAACTTTATTAGACATTTATTTAGAATCAAACCATTAAATAAAATATATATAAAGTATTTTAGTAGAAGTAACGATCAGATAATTCCTTAATCTTAACTGTAATCAAGTCTGATAAACAGTATTGTATTTTTAACAATATTTTTTTTGGCGGGTAGCCCCGGACATCATTTATTGGTGATGATCAAGTGGCTTTACGGCTTTTCAGACGTCACAAAAATAGTAAAGGATCACTATCTACGCATGCTTCATGCTCCCAGTCTTTGCATTTATGACATTGTATCAAATCTACTTCAAATTTTTCTCCACAAATAATGCACTCGGTATCTTGGTCTCTTGACAGTTCTTGGATGTTCCGTTTGTTTTCATTTTATTTTTCCCTTTCCCTTGGCCCTCTTTATAGTCTCTGCCGCTTCAGATTCGTTACCTAATATTGTGTGTGTTTTTAATAAAGATTATTTAAATGGAGAAGATGACAGAATTTCGCTCTTTTGAGTTTTTCGTGAACGCGTCTTCGAATCTCCCTAGTTTTGGAACCAAGTTAACCTCTTGTCGAATATTAAGTGCTTTTATTCGATTCCGAAGAGTACTCGGCACCTGACACCTGCCATCTGCTTCTCCCAAAGAATAGTTGTTTTCTTTAACACTTGTTTAGCCTGTTTCATTTATTACATTATCTGCATCCCAATTCCTTCGTTTAGTGACTCTTTCCTCAGATTTTGGTATTTTCCAGAGCTTCTGCATAAAATAAATAGCCTATATTTACTCTTCCTATCATAAAAACATCTGTAATATCCAAAAACGCGATAAAAACATTTAAATACAGATTTTCCTTCAGCTCAAAAAGTGTCCGTGGATACCCGACAAAATTGTGTCCGGTTTTACCCGACCGCCTCGATCCAACATTCTATTTATTTTTAAAAATACTATAAATCCCATCGACATAGAAAATCATACCCTTTTAACTGTGACGATTACTACATAGAAAAATGTATAAATCTCTCTTATGTACTTATATTCAATATCTATAAACTGTATTTAAAAAGTAAGCGGCGTAAGAAAAAGTGTTCGGTGATGAAAACAATCAGCTGTCATTTATTGTCTGCTCGACGAAGGTGGCACTACTGCGGCGAATATTCAACTAAGCGATGCTCCGAATGTGTTGATGTTTACACTTTTTGTCTATGTATGCCTGCTTGCCTGGGATAGTCAGTGGCCGGGGCTACCCGCCGGCCGGGGCTACCCGACTCTCCCCTACCTACATCTATGATTTATTTCGTTGCGGGATCCAAAACACTCATTCATGTTTCGGTGTTTTTATGATTATATCTATTGTAGATCCTGGCTAACAGAAGTGGAAGTGGTTTTGGGAGGCTGTGGTAGGCTTGTTCTATAATAAAAAACAACTGCAAATCTGTAACCAATTTAAGAATACGCCCGTTACCACAAGACCTTGTTGCACGTTACAAGTTAATGATATTGTGACGATATACAAAACAACAATGTAATTATTATCTTGTCAATGCAATCGTTACATTTTTTATTGGCTGTTACTAAACTTGCCATGTACATACCTATACTTGTATCTATACTATGACTATATGACCATAATAATATTATAAAGAGGTAAAATTTGTAAGTTTGTATGTAGGGGGTAATCTTTGGAACCAATGGCCGGACTCCCAAAATTCTTTCACTTATTGATAGCCACAATGTTCCCGAGTGCTATAGGCTATAAAACATCACGGAACAATCAAATGAAGCCGAGCAGCGAGCAGCAGGTGAAACCGCGCGGGAGTAGCTAGTTATGTATGCTTGTGAAGTAAAATCTTGCAACCTTATTTTAAAACAGATTTCCTCAACCGATGGAGCTGATATTTTGTGCAAACGTTAAGTTTGTATGACCAAAGACGCTAAGCTATATGTTTATAAAGTATCTAACACTCCCACACTTATTTAAACGCCTGATAAAAGCTTATTTTAAAAATGTTTTTCTATTTTAATCTAATTATATTTTCAACCCGTTGGAATCGATTTTATAGCTGTCATGTCAATATTAGTATTTATTTATTTGTATTGTATTTCTACTAAAATCGTAGTCCGAACTAGCAAAACTGGATTTTACCGTTACATTTACATAGAAACAGAGCAATATCTTCACGTGAATTTTTCATATTTTATTGTGACAAACTAGTTTTCTTTGAATTAATTAGTGAAACTTTACCATTCTTTTAAATTAAATGTAGCATCATTTGCATATAGTCATTCTTTATTTGTATCTTAGCTTTGCACCTAACAGTCGTAGATACCTATATAAACATTACATATTGAAACTTTAAATCATATACTTACGTTTATATAAGTAGGTATGTTATTAGGGGAAGATGGGGTAAGACGGGGCCTTTAAGGTAATTAATTCATCAATATATCCTTTATTTTTTATAGCACAAATAGGAACTTTTATTACGTAAACAATTTCTTAGTTGTTCTTTTTTTATTACAATACTAGCTTTTGCCCGCGACTACGTTCACGTGGAATAGTGACTTTCAGCAGATTTTGGTTTAAAAACTATCCTACGTCCTTTCTCGAGTTCCAAACTATCTCTAAGTATCTATACCAAATTTCACAAAAATTGGTTCAGTAGTTTAGGCGTGAAGAAAACACAGATAGACAGAGTTACTTTCGCATTTATAATATTAGTTTAGATTAAAAACTTATCAAGAAAAATCACTTTTAAAAACAAAACAATTCGTCCTATCCTAAACACCTTGGGTAAGATGGGGTATGATTTAAATTAATCGTCTTTATCTTTACAAACAGGACAAATACACCATCAATGATAGCGTTTTTTTGATAACAGGAAAGAAATACATTTCGATTCTCGGAACCTGTTTCCATTTTGAAACTTGCTACTGACGACAAACATCGCGTAAACAATGACGTAGGTACAGTCAGCTCCAAAAGTCATTAAAAATATACTTTGTTAACCTAATTTTGTCTTTACCGCTGTTTAGTGACTTTTGATACAATGATGTTCAGCGACATTTGGATTGAAGGTGTACAGCGACTTTAGGAATACTAGTGCACAGATACTTTTGAAATAGTCGTGTGTAACGACTTTTGTAAATTTCTGGTGTACAGGCTATTTTGTTTCCTAGTTGCGACTATAACTTATGGCGTTTTATTGTGAACAGGTGTTTTGGTAAGTTGATTCTGTTCATCGACTTTTGGAGCTGACTGTACTTACAGCAAGAAAATATTCCTTATTATGTAATTAAAATGTTACAGAGGGGGTTGGGTAAAACCACGGCCAAGTTTTTAATGTTATCGTTTTAATACATTATCTCAGAAATAGTTTTCCTTTATTTATTTGTTCTAAACATATGACTGTTTCTCATAATAAATAATAGCTAGAGTATATAAGCTCCTAACATAGCCAAAGGTCAACCTAATCGTTTTAGTTACTTATTAATTAAAACTACTTATAACTGAGTAATATACTTACCTAATTTTTATTCAAGCATATCATAGAATCATGTTATGAAGAGGAAAAAAATTATGAACTTCTTGTTGACCAATATTAGAAATATTATTTCGCTGTTGCTCTATCCTTGTTAACATTGGTTATAAACTACGCGAGCGAATACGTGGGGTACAGCTAGTCATAGTAACTTAGTAGAAAGAACTTCTCAAATTTGTAAAAAAAGTTTTGTCTTGAATTGGGTAATTTCCTAGGTAAATAATAAATTATTTTGACGTTTTAGCAAAAAATTATTACCTATTTAAAACATAAAAATATTTTTAATTATTCATTAATTGCCGATATAAGATTTTTTTTTATTTCTCTAGCTTATTTTTCAGAAATAAATATGATATTTGACGTAAAAACATTATGACGACATCATATCATGTTACGATTTCGTAGAAAGTTCATACAAAATTATAACATTTCAATAAAAGTATTTAATTTGACTAGTTAGAAATTATAATATTATTTGAGTTACACCCTTGTTTTACAACTAAGGTACCTACCTAATTAAAGTTTATAATCATAACCAGTAAACAAAGTATTTACTACTATGTATGAGTCATAAGTAATCATAATAAGTAATAACAGATTGTACGTATCTAAGGTTTGTTTTGGGAATTTAGTTAAAAATTCCGCTGAGGTCTTGAAAAACATCTGATACCGAATTATTTTTCTGTTAGGTATATAGGTATATATTAAAACAATAATGATACATATTATTATTAAAAGCTATTAGATAAGCATTTAAATTGGTGTCAAAAGTTTTTTTATCAATCAAGTTTTTTGGTTTTTTTTTATCGAATCCCTAACGTGACACGTTTTTGAAAAAAGAACACCTATGACCGAAGAGTTTTATTAGATGACACATAAAATGCACATATAAGTACTTACCTATTATGAGTAATTTACATGAGGACCTACTGCGGGCAAAATTCATAGAAAAATGCTGTTTTTGACTGAAACGTATAAAGTTAACCCTTATGATATTTATTATGCTTGACGTTCAAAAATGCCTGTTGTGGTCTCTTACTTGAAATAAAGAATTTGATTTGATTTTATTTGAAAAAAAGTTTTGTATTTGACTAGTTGGAAACTACCGTATTAATTAAATAGTTGATGGTATTCATAGGTTCAGATAATTACTTGTAAGATTTGTTAATTTAGTACTTATTATGCTTGCAGAGACAACATGGGCCGCTTGTTGGCGGTGTTCGCGTGCGTGTGCGCAGTCTTAGCGCTCACGCACTCAGCTGCAGTTCCTACACAGGACACAATGGTAGTCGCCAAGTCTGACGATGGAGTGACCGTAAGTATTTTGGAGAAACTAGAAATCTTATATATAAAAAAAAACCAACAACAACAGTCATAATTTAAAATACGTACCTATTCGAATGAACCTGAAAATCAATGAAGAAACCGGCTGAAAAACTTGGTGTTTGCTCTTTGCTTGAGCATAATAAGCGTTTCTCATCATTTAGTCACGGTGATACGTAATGCTATTACAAAGCAAACATAGCTACATTTACTTACTGATGAATGATAAAATGATGGGATAAATGCAAGGCGCTTTACTAGAAACTAGAAAGTGTTTGGCAGTTTTAGTGTTTTGACGTTCAAAGACTTTTGATTTTGACTTGCGCAGGTTGCTACCAACTCAGCACCGACTGTGACTGAGGTCACGACTGAAGAATCCAGCCCGCCAATTAAACTGACAGAGATGGACGTCATATCCGAGGTCTCTCTCCGTTATGCGCATACGACGGTCGTAGCGAAAGTACGCAACCCCGCCAAGAAGGCGCAGGAGGCCAACTTCAGAGTGCTACTGCCCGAGACTGCCTTTATCAGCGGATTTGTCATGTAAGTACTTTTTTTAACTAAAGTATTATCAGACCCAAGAGAACGCGCTTGTTCTGAATAAAGGAAGTAACCAATTACTACTCTAAATGGGCGTCCTACTTCCGAAAGAAAAATCAATAAGGACTTATTTGTACCGCAGAGTCAATTTGGGACAGCGTCAATAAATTGTTTAACCTCTTCTCTGCCGGTATATGACAAACCATACAAAACACATTATGTCTCGCGTGGACCCGCGCTTCGGTATACCACGGGGTTTTTTTTGTGAAGGGAAAATCATCAAATGACTTCTCCCTTCTAATGACTGAGGGAGTATCAGACTCTTACTGACTAAAAACCTCCCTGTTCCTTCTCCTGCTCTAAGCCGAGGTTGCGGTGCCTCATTGCGCTTACCCCGCAACCCCGGCTGAACATCAGCCCTATAGGGCCTCGTCTGTGGTGGTCTATTGGCTCGCGGAACGCTACGCGCCGTACGCTCGGGCCTGGTTTTGGTCGGGTTCTTACTCGCCGACCGCAGACCCGCGCTTACGGTGGCCGGAGATCATCTCTCGATCCCCGACGCCCAGAATGTCGCCTATTGCGGCGGCTGGGGCGTGAGGAGGAGGATTGCTCCCTCATGCGGGGGTATACCAAGGGTTAATGTGCAAATTTTTACAGGACTCTCGATGGCAAATCGTACAAGGCGTATGTTAAAGAAAAGGAAGAAGCCAAACAGATTTACCAAACCGCTGTCGACCAGGGAATCGGTGCTGCCCATATTTCTGCCAAGTAAGTATCTTCGTCTTTATGCCTTAACTGAGTGGGTGATATTGTAAGACTCGTAAGGCTGCCTAAAATGGTCACAAATTGGTCATGACACACAATCACGGTCATGAATCGAAAGTGTTGAAGCTCTCTATTATATGTAAATATATTGACGCTCGCTCTTTTGAGACTTATGGTGGGCATGAGTCATTCATTGTTTAGAAACAACTCGCCTTTGCCAATAGCACTCGTAGGGAAAAGTTTTAGTGAGTTTCTACATCTTTTTATAATATTTGGACTCTTGGTTTGTAGGGCACTTAGAAAAGAGACCTGTTACACGTTATTTTTAGTTATAAGTACATGAATATTTTGTACACCAATTTGATAGAATGTGTAAGATTCCATACACCTAACACAAAAATCTATATTTGTATACATTCTAACAAATATTTTTTTTCTTTCTTTCTTTCTTTCTTTCTTTAACACAGATTTTTATACTTTAGTCATCGAATTAGAGAAACTCGGCACTTATCAAGTGTATTCACTTTCAGAGCGCGTGATTCAAACCACTTTACCGTATCTGTGAACGTGGAAGCTTCATCAAACGCAGTCTTCAACTTGACTTACGAAGAGTTGTTGGTGAGACGCAATGGTGTTTACAATCATGCCATCAATCTTCACCCAGGAGCATTGGTGCCCAAGCTTACAGTCACCGTCCATGTCAAGGAAACTGAGAAACTCGTAGAACTGAGAGTGCCCGAGATCAGGACTGGAAACGAAATTGATGCTACTAAGGATGATGCACGTACGTTAAAAAATGATTATAATTTAAAAAAACGACATTTATTCGTGGATATAATAAGGACGATAAGTTTCAAATAGGTATCAATCACGTAATATTTCATTTACAGAAAACTCAAAGGTATCAATTGTAAGAGCGCACGATGACCGCGAAGCAACCATCACGTTTACACCAGATCTGCAAGAACAAGAGAGACTCATTCAAATCTACGCTGTAAGTATATTCTGTTCTGTTCTGGTCCTTTGAATGGACAGACAATACCTGATTATAACATACAGCGACAAGGTCGTCTTTAATACTAAAATGTATTTTTTCAGCAAAAATCTAAGGAATCTGCTAGCGCTACTCACTCCTATTCTCCATGGTCGTCTTACTCGGAGCCTCAGGAACCCGCTCCAGAAGGAGTGCTGGGTCAGTTCGTAGTGCAGTATGATGTGGCACGTCCTAAAGACGGTGAAATTCTGGTAAGTTAATGTTCCATTTTCAGAGTCCTTTTTCCAAACTTCTTTAATTATTTGTTATATCCTTATATAAGGGTTTCTTTAACGCCAGTCTCCTCGATAACTATCCCTTAATAAATAGTATGTCTACCTAACTGAAACTCAATTCCAAGTCTTTAAAACTTCTTACATAATTGATATATAATATATTTTGTAGGTCAACGACGGCTACTTCGTTCATTTCTTCGCACCGACAGAGCTTCCGCCTTTAAACAAATTCGTCGTGTTCGTCCTGGACACGTCTGGATCCATGATGGACCGCAAGATCGTCCAGCTAAGGGAAGCCATGCAGACTATCCTCTCAGAGCTTAACGAAGGCGATTACTTCAGTATTGTAGAGTTTGCATCTGTTGTTACGGTATGTAGTTTTCTTTTATCGCTTTAAGAAAGGTTGTAGCTGTTATATCAGTATTATCTAACTACGATATCAAGAAATGTTCTTTTTTTGTCGTCTTACTCAGACACTCAGACCGTTATACTAATCCAAACAGGGTGAACAATTATCTTATCGAAAAGTTTCACTTTGTAGGTGCACGATCTCAAAGAAGCAGAAGGTGAGCCACCGAAGAATCAATATGCATACTTTGATTACCACGACAAACAAGTGACCTTGGTGCCACCGTCGAGGGCCACTAAGGAGAACATTGCTCGTGCCAAAGTCATTGTCAACTGGCTGCAAGCTTCTGGAGGTAAGGAAACTGATTTGTGGATACAGATATTCGTAAATATTACTCATATAATGGATCGATTTACTACGTGATATTTTTATCTTAGAAAGTAATTTTAAACAAAAATATTCCGAAGTTTGCATTACATAAATGAGTTATCGACTTGACCTCTTCGTGCACTCTTATTAAGAAAACGAATAAATTACCTCTACGTCTGTCACTTCGCGCATATAAAATATAAGATTATAATTACTGATTTGAATTGCCTCAGGTACTAACATTGGAAGAGCGTTGGATGTTGCTGTGGACTTGATCAATAAGGGTGTGGACTGGACCATCCCCCCGCCTGCCGCTAAGCCCACAAACGCCAGTGATGGTGCTGCCCCAACTACCGAAGCTGCTGCAACTACCGAAGCTGTTGTCACAACCGAAGTGGCTGAAAAGAAAGGTACATCCTATCATTGTACTTAGCTATTTAGATATCTCATCTTAATGATATAATATTAATAATATCAATTTTTTCTTGTTTTATGCGTGATTGAGTAACAAATATTGTTACTAAATCACGCCAAAACGGCTGGACTGATCTGGTTGAAATTTGTCACAGGTATAAGATACCCTCCGGAATAGGATAAGGCTACTTTTTGTCGCCGCGGGCGGAAGCTAGTATTTAATAATTTTAATTTTTCACTTTCTTTAATACATAAAGGTGTAGTACAGTTTCCGTGGTCCGAACTAGTTACTACTGCGTGGTTTGACCCCACTGCTCAGCTCCTATTGATCGTAGGGTGATGTTTTCTACCCCTGCTATATAGGCTCAGGAACATTGAATTTAAATCTGTCCGTCTCTAACGATTTTCTACCTCGTAAAATAGTTTCAAAGTAAAAAGGTTAGTACTAAATACACGTTGTCTTTTATAGAAACCAAAACCCTGGAGCCGATTATCATCTTCCTGACTGACGGCGACCCAACTGTTGGCGAGACTGACCCCAAACGCATTATCACCCACGTACAAGAAAAGAACTCCGGACCTAACAAGGCTACCATCTACTCCCTTGCTTTTGGTAAGTTCAAGATCGATGTTAACTAGTTGCTTATAACATGACTTGAGCATATTAAAATATTTTTATAATGGTGATCAAGTTTGTGGAAAAAAAATTTTTCAGTCAATAAAAAAAAATTTTTTTTTTTGCATAGACCTCGTTGTCAAATATTTTTGTGTCTTTCGTCCTTTGTCGTACATTATAAAGATGACGTGTATATTATGGGTTACTAAGAACCCAGACGTCTGGTGAAAACCTGTGAAAACATACAGAGATTAATTATGAAACTACGCTTCCAGGCGAAGATGCGGACCGTAAATTCCTGCGCAAGCTGTCACTGCGTCACGGAGGATTCATGCGTCACATCTACGAGGCGGCGGACGCGGCTCTGCAATTACGCGACTTCTACCGACAGATCTCGTCACCGCTTCTCGCAAATGTCAAATTTAGCTACCCTCCTGGACAGGTAAATAACTGTTATCTTATAGCATATTTATTTAATTACTTTAACCATTAACAACTTATAATTAAACTAGCTTCTGTTGACGGTTGCTCTTGCTGCTCTTCGGCTCCTACAAATCGTAGCGTGATGTTTAATAGCCTAAAACCTTCCTCGATAAATATGTATACTAACAAACTTAAAAAGAATCATTCAAGGTTCTACTTGAATAATTCTTTTTGAGTTTAGTAGTTCTAGAGATGAGTGCGTCCAGACAAACTCTGCAGCTTTATAATAATAGTATAGATTGATATTAAAATAATTATGATGGTGTATCTACATTGATATTGTGTGTGTATCAGGTTCGCTCAGAGTCTGTGACCCAACACCAATTCCGCACGTACTACGCGGGCTCAGAGCTGGTGGTGGCCGGACAAGTACTGGACGTGCCCGAGCTGGCTCCCACCGTCGAAGCCTTCTGCGGCGTCAGTGATGGAAAGGGCAGGGTAAGTGACCAACATATCTCGAAATAGGTATATAAGTATACTTTTATTCATTTAGGTATCAGACTATTTGAAAGTGAATATTATCATAACAATAATATTAAAAAAAAAAACAATAAAGGCAATACAATATCTGAGGACAAACCTCTAGGCAACTAGAGAAGGTGTTCCCAAATTTTTAAACTGTAAATACAGAAAACTGCCATTATTACTATGCTCACAGAAGCGCCTGGAGATCCTACCCAAGGTTCCTATCGAGAAGAAGAAGCAAGGAACGTTGCCTCTGGAGCGGCTATGGTCTTACCTGACGATTAAACAACTTTTGGACCAACGTGATGCCTCTGATGACAACGAGCCTGCTGATAAGGAAAACTCGCCCGAGAAGAAGGCTCTGGCATTAGCATTGAAGGTACATAATGGAATAATTTGGTTCATAGTTTTTCTGTCACATAATTTTATTACGATTTCTTAGTCTCATGCTCGCAGTAACCCTGAAATTCTCTAGCACCATCAGATACTGATTGATATCTCTATACTTAATGAAAAACTATATCGAACTATTAAGCAAGAAGTAACATTTCTTTTGATTTATAAAAAAAACGTTGCCCTACACTAGGATTTTCTCCTGTGTCGTGGGTGCGGTTACAAATATGTCATTTCACATACATATAACAACCAGACCCGAAACAATAATTTGTGGATCACACAAAGAGTTGTTTCGTGCGGGGATCGAACCCGCCACACGTTGCAGCCAGTTGTCCACCCACCGCACCAACCGTGCAGTCAAACATTGTTGAAAGGCAAGTTTTCATGAGCAACGGCAGAGGCAGCTTTCAGGTTTAAACTTCGTGACAATTTTTTTGGAATAGCATCTATCTTGATATACGAGTATATGAAATTTATTAAAAATAACGAGTTAATTAACTGAGAATGGCTCTACTATTTTCAAGTCACAACGGGACTTTTATTCATGGGCAGCGTGCGCTGACGTCGCGCAGCCAACTGACAAATCTTTGATGTGTGCTTGTTAATTTTATCTTCAAAAAATATTTTTTTTACCAGTATGAGTTCGTGACACCACTGACATCGCTTGTGGTGGTGAAGCCCAACGCTACCAATGCGGTCAACGCCGAGTCTGTAGATAAAGCAGGTGATGATACACTTGATCTAGTAGGTAATAATATCAGAATTTCACCTGCGATACCTGTTATTATACTTATCGATACCTAAATGACGATATCAGGTCATAGAAAATGACAAATCTTTTCCACTTTTAGTTCCTGGAGGAGCAGGCGGTTTCGCTAGCGGTGTTCGTAAGTATTTATAGCTATTTATACCTTTAAATACATTAAATTAATATGCTTGTGCTATTGCCTTATTTGAGTATCTGAGTATATACATATTTTGACTTCAAATTGAGGCGTTTCAAACGATTTTTTTATGTTTGACTAGGATGAAAATATGACCATAATACCTCATAAAATATTATGTATCTTTAGCATTTGGTATTGCACATTAGTCTACGCTACTAACACTTGGGGAACGTCGGGTTTCGAGTCTATCTAACTCTCTACTTTTACAAAATTCAAAGACAAGATACTTAAATGTTGTTTTTTTAACTTCCAATTTTGAATTATGACATTTAATGGTTACCCATAGGTAGTTGAACTTAATGCTTGCTTGTTAGCTACTAATGCAATGTTTGTCCTTGTAGCTTTGTCAGTAAACTTGGCTCGTCCGATGGCGAGTCACGCGGCTTTCGGTCTGTCGGGTCCTGGCTACTACACTCCTCTCTCCCTTCCAGCACCAGCTGCAGCAGGTGGCGCCTTCTACAGTGAGTCAATCAATTTAAAATTTTATGCATCTTGCTTGTGATTTCATTTTATTGGTCAATGTGGTTCTAAAGTTTAAATAGATAACTGTCAGTTGCATAAACGCATGTGAATGTATACCCATAAATCAACCTGTTGTATCTAAATTTTATTAACAACTATTTTTGATCATTTATCATTTCAATTTTCTTTACTCTTTTTTGGCTATGCAGCCTACTCGTACTTCATCCTTCAAGTTTTCATTCATCATTTTCCACCAAACTTGTTCGAAATACTAAATTATTTTTGTCGGACTGTCAGTCTTATCTCTATCTTGTTTACCGGAAAAATTGTTTTTTTTTTAAACATGGTATTGTTTATGGTAGTCTTCGTTTTGGCTTATTTGTACAGTATTTTGAAATTCTGCTTAATTTGTAGTGGACTAGTGGGTTATGGGTTATATAGAATATTTGTAATCAAGTTGATAAAATTATTATTACATATCTGACACTAGGCGCAGGTAGTTTGTCGGCGCCGGCCTCTCTAGACGTAATGGAGGAGGCCGAAATGGAAGATTATTCCTTTGAAGGTGAGATTTCAGTGAAGACAGTGAGTGTTCTAAAATATTCATCCCTGTATACCTAATAAACCAGGGATAGTCATCATTATTTTCTAGTTAGCGTACGTATAATACGATACGTAGATAGGTAGGTAAGTATATTTTTCTGTGAATAGTCACAACCATAGAGATTACGACAAGACTATCTATATACTATTCGTGTTTTAGGAGTTCCTTTTATAAGGAACATCTTTTATAATCTGTAAACATTTTTTTATTAATTGTAGAGGGTAAATCACTATTTAATCTATACTTATAGTAAATCTGTAGAGAGGTCATCCAGGCCATAAACTCCAAAAAAAAAAAAAAATGTAGAGAGGTCAATTATGTACATGAAAAATATTCTCAAAAAAACTATCAGGGGGTGATTAGTTATCGATACTGATGCCAAAAATGTAATCTATAAAATGTTTGTCCGTCTGTCTATATGTTCCTTATAGAAACAAAAACTACTCGACGGATTTTAACGAAACTTGGTACAATTATTCTTCATATTCCTGATATTCCTGTATAGGATACTTTTCGTTACGCTACAATTAATAGAAGCAGAGCAGTAAAAGTAAACGTTGGGAAATCGGGAGAAATTACTTAATGCTACATAGAAATCATGTATTACGTAAATGTTCGACATAGGTATGAAAAAAAAATTACAGCATATGTCTATGTATCTTTTATGGTTGACTCACAATAACACGTGTAACTCTCGATAGCTTAGCAGCTCTGTAGCTAATAGTATGTGCCGTTTAGCTATTTTACAGATGGCCCACGTTACATGCACGAATGTACTTAAAAGTAACATCCATAAAATAGTGGGAAAATTTACTATCAGAGTTGCACCCGTGCGAAGCCGGGCGGATCGCTAGTAATAACATATGGGAGAGCCATGCTTCGGCACGAACCGATTCGATTTATTACCAAGTCATTAAATGCATGAAACATTTTGAATGGGAATGAATAGGAAATCGTGTATATGAATGCTAGTAATGCTATCTACAATTATGTCTACTTAATTTAATTCACAAGGATCCATTCCACAAGTTCGATCTGACATCATTGGCTTCATGAGTTCATCAACCTCTTGCTACCTACTGCTCCCAATTATTTGCTTTATAATCAAGTTGTATCTAATTGTTTCTTTGTCCGTGCATAACTGCACAAACTAACATATTTTTTCTAAATATTTACTAGGACCTATGAGTGCTGCTTGGAACTACCCTTCCTCTAACAGGGTTAGTTTACACACTGCTAGTGCGTTCTCAGCTATGAGTAACTATAGACCAACATTTAGTACCAGTTTTGGTTCATTCGGTACATGTAAGTATTATCTTATGCATTCCACTTATTTGATAATACGATACTTCTTTGGACTTATTGAATCAGTTAATAGAAACTGTAAAACTGATTATACCTACTAGTGTCAGCCGTACTCGTTAGTCGGTCGAAAGTTCAAAATTTTTAGCATCCCCTTTTTGAGTAGATCTGTACCTATCTACTGTATCGTATCGTATAGATTAGCTTAATTACATTCATGGGATGAATATTAAGAACAGGACACAAATTAATATTATACCTACTTTTTTGAACTTGAAGGGTCTTCTATGTTTTAAACGTTTGTTATATTTAATTTAAGACGGAGGAATAGCAGGATACATCTCTACACCGGCGCCCCCTATGCACTACCCGACATTTGCCCCATCCACATCACGCCCGACCCTGTCGGAGTTCCACCTGGAGGGCTTCAGTTGGCTGGAGCCATTGCTAGACTCCAGCGCAAGCTCTATCGTGCTGCCCACTAACGACACCACTGTCACCTTGAAGCTTTCCAAAGACACAGTGGTAAGCTTTGACTTTTTAATCATTAGATAATATCGATAAAGTCGCTATTTTAAGCTATCGCATCAAAACTGATGTTTTTGTTTACACAATTGCCTATCTACAAAATAGCCTTGTTATGCGATATCTTACCGAAAATAAATGGTTTTATTCCTACAGGCTCCGAAAGAGGCAAGTGGTGATGCAGAATGCGCGAACGCAGTAGACGGCGGCGCGGGACTGTGTGTGTACCTCACAAGATGTGATGGCGTCAAAGACATCACTTTGGACGTTTACAAAACTACATACTGCACGCTCAGTCAAGGGTAAATATTCCAACTACTTAATTTACTACTAACTTACTTTTAATAATACTATTAGCTATAATCCTCCTCAAAAATATCATCGTCTCTAGTACATAGTCTGTGATATGATTAATTCAATTCAATTATGTAGATTTTCAGTCCAGTCAAGTACCTTTTGATCTGATAGATTAAACTTCGTTTAATTTTATTTCACCTTACCTACCTATTTTGTCCAAGAGAAAATTATGCCGAGATACAAAAGAAGACAAGCGTAAAACGATACACAGTTACGATTAGCTACAACGTTAAAGTTACATTGAAATCGAAGATGGGATCGACCTTATATTATCTATTAAATATATTTTTTCTTGCAGATTTGCTGGAGTTTGCTGCCAACAGAAGAAAATCGACTTAACACATTAAAATAATTAAGATCTAGGTAGAATTAAACCATGACAATTACAAATGAAATAAATAACAATTAATATACTGTGATTACTCCGAATATAAGTAGACAAGACGAGAAGCAATAAAAAATGGAAACTCTTTGCAATGTTACTGTTGATACATTTGAAATGTAAGAAATTAGCAATATTAATAATTATAATATGCTTATAAATAGTTTCAACTGTGATTCCTTGTATGGATTGGTATTTTAATATGAAATGGAAGTGAAACGTTTTGAGCAAATGTAATTACAGAAAACTTAAGGTGCTAGACTAATCGATTAGTGCCATTATTAGGATTTAACATGACCTACTGTTGTGAGATGTACCTAGTTTTCGTTTTTTTACAATTGAATCTTAAATAAAGATAAGATTATTTTTCAATACCTATTATTAAATTATTTATTCTATGCATATCCCTAACGTTTATACCTACACCCTAGATGCCAGCAAGCTTTAAATAACCGCCTATTTTCATATGAAAAGAACACAAATTACCTAATATTGGTCACAGTTATCGTTTTCATAAACTTAAAATAATGTCAAAATATAACTCCCACTATAAGTTTAAAAAACGCTGCGGTATTGAAATAATTGAGATTTATAGAGATAAAAGTTTAGGTAGGTAATAACTTAAAAATTACAGTAGATTTCTTATGTTTAGACTTGGACGATACCAAAAGTACCAGAGTTTATTTATTATCATATTGATTATTGTAGTCCGAATAGATTCCACGTAAGTACAGGCAGATGCAACATCAGCACTGTGGAAGTAAGTCAGTAGGCGACACGAGGAGTCGACTCAGCACACTACTTAAGTGTTGCAATATTCCTTAAAAATTTTTTATGTGATAGGATGGCAAACGAGCAGACGGATTACCTGATGGTAAGCAATTAGCGTCGCCCATGGACACCCACAACAAAGAAGGAGTGCGTTGCCGACCTTTTAGGGATATGTTGATTCGTTGGCTATCATATCGCTATTTAATGGATTTGGTGTAGGATGTACACAGGTTTGGTGAATCTTGAGTGAATAATTAGAGGAAAAACATATCAATATAATTTACGTCGAGGTCTATCGTCCCAAAATATACCTCGATTAGCATCATTGTACGAGAGACCTAATGTCTGAGGAATTGAAAGTCAGGGCAAATTGGCAGAGTCAAATCTACAAGTTAGTGTGTGGGACGCAAGACATGATATAACTTCGAAATTACCAAACAGAAAAGCTCTACTCGATTTCATTTTAATACTCTGCACTTCTGCAGTTTTTGTCTTCATCCTACAAGCCCAATCCTGCCAACTACCGGTGGCCAGCAAATTTTCCAATAGGAAGAGGGCTTAAAATTAGAGATTTTAAAATTGCAAACGAAGAAAAGGAGTCACGGGTCACGCTAAAACATGTAGGTACAATCTACTCGCGGATGACTTCTGCACCATATTTTACGTTGCACCACTGCGAAGCTTGGAAGAAGGCACAACTTTCAAATTATTTGCATCAGTGAATTAATAGGGTCTCAATTAATAAAGCATCTTGAATTGAATACAAAAATACTTTAGGGAAACAGCTTCCAGGGGTTATGGCGCAATAATTATGTTTATAATGTATATTAAACTTTAAATTATAAGAACAGCGTTTTCCAAGTGTTGGGTCGCGACCTAGTCCTTCAGACCGGGCTATCAAAACATAATAGGTACGGGACCGCAACATTGCCGCCTTGTTTGAAAAAATCTTATTAGATATAATTCAATGCATCTCATCATCAACTACCAAAAATACAATGTATTGATGGTGACTGACATTCAAAAATTAGCCATGAATAATTTATGTTATAATAATTTGCTAATAAGTCTTAAATTGTATGTATAATATATTTATTATTACTTTAACAATTTTTATTAACTATTATGGTACGTTTGTAAAATAATAAAACAAATCGACTAAAAGCAGTTCGATTAGTTCAAAATATTTAGTATCTATGGTATTTCACTAGTCATTTTGTTTGACGTTTGAGATATAGTTTGACAGATATTTAATTTTTATCAATATTGGCAAGATTTGAAGATTGATCACTTTGTGGATTTCTACTGAGAATAATTTTCATAAAGTAGCTTGAAATAACGTTAAAGGTATGGTAAACTTGGCCGATACGCTTATGATAAATACGGTGACGGACGGAGCAATGAATTTATTGCGACATATTGTAAGTCTTGTCTACAGCTTTGTAATTCAAGTTACAATAATGCAAGCCATTATAAAGTAGTTGACTGTATTACTAAACAATATCGCTTTATTTACGTCACAGGGCATCTTTAAAGCGCAACAGCCTACTCCTCAACCAACTCAAATTATGGTAAGAATGCCGCTGTGGCAACTAGCACAAGAGGCGGGGCCCTTTGTGCGCCTGGCCGGGGTGAGTGGTGCTGCCGCTGTAGTGTTGGGTGCAATGGGAGCACATCGCACGTTCCCGGAACCCGAAACTAAGGAAGATTTAAGGAAAATATTTGACACAGCCAACCGCTTCCATTTCTTACACACACTAGCACTAGTTACAGTGCCTCTTTGCAAAAGACCCATGATTGTAAGTCTACTAAAAGTATTTATTTTCTACATTGCGTTTATAAATTTTTGACATTGAACTTTGTAATCACTCTTTACAGAGTGAATGATAATAAGGAATTTAATTTCCATATTAATAATGATTATGCAACTTTTATATTCAAATGTTTATTCCTTATTCTACTATCACTATCTTGATTTATTTTATTTTATCTTGCATATTTTTTAATCACAGATTTGCCTGTAAGAATATATTAATGAGCATGATTGTTAACAAAAAATACCTTTTGTTTTTTAATGTATTAAACATGTTAATATTTGTTACCAGGCTGGAGCTTTCTTTATAACTGGAATGGCACTGTTTTGTGGGACCTGCTACTACCATGCATTTACTGGCGACCGTTGCTTCCGGAGGCTTACCCCCATTGGTGGCTCCTGCCTTATACTCGGATGGGTTGCAATGGTGCTGTAAACCTTTGTGACTATTTATAGATGCTCATTTTTGTTCATAGATGGTCAAGTGTACATTCTAGCTTAGGATTATATTTTAGATTTTATTGCACAGTTCTATGACTTAACATTTAATTTGATGTATTATGTAGTCTGAATTACAATGTACCTAGAAAATTATTATATCTTTTGTTCATGTTATTATTTTTATCAATACACCTTAAAGCAATTTTATTAGAATATAGTCATAATGTAATGTAGAATTAATTCAACGTTAGTTGTTTCACTGACAAATACATAATCATTCTTATTATGAAGTAAATTTTAATATATTTTTGTGGAATGGTAGGTGACAGTGTGTAATATTAAATGGTTGTTTGGAAATGTTAGCCATCTTTGTTTCATTATATTTTATTGTAAGGTTTACAATGTCAACTTGATAATAATAAATATTTGAAGGTTTCATTCTTGTTTTTATTTATGTTATAAATGTGTTCAACAGGTGGAGTGTGAATGTTGGCTCGACGCAATCATTGTGTCTATCATGTCGCTATTCCCTTTATGAGATGAGAATGAATTGAAGGTGACAAATGAAACCCAATATTGATCAATATTGTTTACATGGTTTTATTGAAATTGTTACATATTAAATTTTGCACTTTTTCTTTACTCATTAATGATACTTAAAACATACACCATTTGGTAATAAATGCTATTATAATTCATAGGACTCTCAGACAAGTTTTAATGGTCCTTCAAATAGCTTAAATATAAATGTGCCAATCTAATCAGAAATATACTGCAGGTGGTATTCGAGGAATAACTCGTGAAGTGTAAGTGAGTGGGCACTCTATTGTTATTATTATGTAAGTTCAGCAAAGTCAGAAGCATGGATGGTCAGTCCTGTGGCTAGTGGTACAATACCGACTCGTGCAGTCTTGTCTCCATACAGTGAAGCCAACAAAATCCATCCATGTTACACAATTATTCATCATAAGCTTTTTATTGAGAGTCGGCAGATCTCCAATGTACAGAGAAAGTAATATACAAAGTTATCACATTAAATTAACACAAAATATAATATAAACATATTTCTGTAATCTAAAAAGAATCCAAAGAAAACAAAACTATAGAACGCACAGCACTTTAAGTGTCTGTCACATAGGTTAATAAAATCACTTTGATTGCACATAAACAGCAGTCGTCCGGGGCGTGTGCACCGTCAATATAACACAATTATTATAGGTTTCACTAACCGCATTCACACGTGTATACAAACAACTCTGAGGGGTCGATAAGTAATCACAGTAGTAGGGGAGGAGGCGATTTTCGGGCGTTCACGACAAATGGAACGAGTGCTGGCCCTCGGAGGCGGCCAGACGCAGTTTGGCGCGCATCACCTCCGCGCTGGTGTAGTCCGGCAGCTTCAAGTAGTTCACGCACGTCATCACTGACGGCAGGTACTCGTCCGGATCCAGAGATGATTCTAGAGACTTGCGCACCACCGTCAGTGGCGGGTTCAGCGCCTTGAAACCTGATACAATAACAATTCAAATATAAGCTCAGGATATCAAAGCCAGTGGTGTATGCAGTTGTGTAGAATAGTTTGCAATATCTTTATCTGTACCTCCTGTAGGTAACCGAGGGCTTCCAGTTACGAACTGCAAGAACAGACGTTGCTCCTCACGGTTATATGATGCAAGTATGTCGATGAGCATACGAATGGCGCGCGACTCTGCGTTGTACCCGTGGTCTGGACGGATACACTCCGTCAGCATACGTGGCTCCCAACGCTGGTCTCGACCGCCTGTAGGAGTAAGTAAGTTATTGATATGAAATAAATTTTGTTAACTTCTAGTTAACAGATATTTGCCTTGACAGCTAACAATTATGCAGATGCATTTTGATACTTACCAGATGGACTGCCACAGAATACTTGTTCCAATTCTTCAGGATAAAATATTTTGAGGTTGGCTAGTGGGAAAACTGACTCAAAACCTTCCCGGAAAGCTTCCATTTGTTTGGTAACACCTGTTGAAAAAAAAATGGTAAAATTTTTTTTTCACTGATTTCTAAGTTAATTTTAATTACTTCTGTAGATTGGGATATATCGCTAGGAACTTTTGGCGTCCAATCAAATGATTCAAACAGAAACTCAAGGTGATTATAATCGTGTCAATGTTGGCAATAATTATAATTATAATAGATCGAGTATTACCTTCATAGAGTAGCCAGTGAGTAACGAGATCAATATAGTTGTGTAGGTTGTGTGCGGTGACTGGCAGGTCGCGCCCGCCTCGCCGGAGCTCCGTGCAGCCGTCGCCGGGCAGAATGAAGTCCAGACCCAGCTCCTCAATGGGACAACCGTCGAGCTCCAGAGCGCTTATCTGTTGATTTGTATATTTATGAAAAACGAGAGCCGAGGAGTAATTATATGATCTTTTTCCATAGCAGTGAAAAGTAGCGTATGCATACGAGTTGTGTCTTCTGTTCGGGCGTGTGTCGTGTGTCGGCGGCGATCTGCCTGGCGCGCTCCGCGACGCGGCGCAGGCGACACAGCGAGCGCCACAGCTCGGGCGCCACGTGCCGGACGTCGCTCAGCGACAGCCACTTCTCTTCGTTCACCATCCAGCGGTACATCGACACCGACAGCGGGATGTCCACCTGTTACACGTCAATACATATTATCATCTGCGCATTTATGAAATCTGTGAAAACTGTCATAAAATGTTAGTCTTCTTGGACTGTTGTTTTGTTTAATTTTTATGATTACTCTTATTTGCATAAAAATTAAGCTTGGACAAGCTTAATTTTTTGTTAATTGCCTTTCAGGACTACATTTTGACTAATTAAATAATGATTAAGTCAGTTGACAAGCGAAGAAAATGTATACAACGAGACTTACCATTCTTGAGTCCATGACAGCTTTAGCCATGAATTTTCCCAGAAAACGGAATTTTGCTTTTATCCTTGAAACATGTGATGCCCGCGCGTTGCGACCGACAGCCTGCGGGAACAAGCCACAAGGCCAGGACACGTAGGTTGCGTCGGGTGCAGGCGACGGGATCGAAGTCTCCTTCTCTAAGTCTGATGGCTCGGGGGCACGATCTTCATCCAAGTTGAGAGCGTCGCGCACCGAAGAAGCCAGGCGAGCTGCAGCATCGGCCGACCGGTCCGTGACGACAGGCGGCTGGCTTTTGACGATTTCTCCGCCAAAGGACGTCGGCTTCTGCTTGAAGTTCTCGCTGCCGTGCCAGAGGTCCAAGTCGGCGCGCTGCAGCTCCTGCGAGACGAGCGCGTAAAACTCGAGCGTGGGCCCGAGGCCGGTGCCGACCTCGTTCTCGTACTGTATCTCCAGCAGCGCCTTGGAGTGCGCGAACTCGTGCATGACGTGCTCGGCCTGGCGCAGCACGTTGTGGCGCTGCACGGTGCGCTTGCGGCGGTCCAGGCGCGGCGCCACGCGCTCGTCCGCGCCGCCCGCCGCGCCGCCCGCGCCGCGCTCGCCGCCCGCCTCCAGCAGCCGCTGCAGCGCGCGGTCGCGGTCGAACGACACCACGTAGAACAGCAGGTGCCGGCACTCGAACGGCAACACGAACGGGCTGCAACATCGCACAATTATTATGCTCTCATATCTTACACTTGCGCAAATTAACACTTTTATCGGATTACGAATACTTACCATGCGTAAGCAATTTTCTTTAGCCACGGTGGGAGATTTCCAGTCATGATAACGAGTGGGTCTTGGAGTTGGCGGTTTGCTTTGGCAGCGAGCTGTCGTGAAATAAAAATAAATTAGTGTACTAAGTAACAAAATAAAGTAAGATGAATGAAGATGAGGAGTGTGTATGAGGTGTACCTTGGCGTTGATGAAGTCCGCGTTGGGCACGAGCGGGCGGTGGTCGGGCAGGCAGGCGGCGCGGTACAGCGTGTGCCAGTGCCGCGACAGCGCGTGCAGCGCGCGCAGCAGCCCCAGCGCGGGCAGCGAGGCGTCGCGTACGTCGCGCACGTCGCGCGCGTCGGCCGCGCCCGCCCCGCCCAGCGCCGCGCCGCGCACCATCACCACGAGCGGGGACACACGCGCCGGCACAACTCCTTCTGGAATGCCGTCATAAATCAAACAACGATTCGCACTTAAACACACATGTGTGTGTGAGACAAGCACGGCAACGAATCATCGAAAGCAAATTGAGAAATCATCCAACGACTTCTCCAAGTCCTGGGTGGAGCTATAGGGAGTGTAGGACTTTTTCTGACTAAAAACCACTCCATTCCATCTTCCGTTACAACAAAAAAATAACGAGATGATAAAAGAAATAACAAATATTTTTGTAGAAAAAATAAGGCGCTATCAAAACATTTGCCACGGTTGTAATGTTATTGACAAAATTTCTCTGGCAACTTACCATTCCACAAGAGATCAGGTTTACGACGAGAAGACAGTTTGGTGGGCTGGCCCTTTCCTTTACGTGAAGCGGTAGTGTCTGTGCGAGGTTGTTCACCTGCCTCGACGGCGCGGTAATATATCGTGTGCGTTTGGACCCAAATACCCGCGTTTGCTGTGAAAAATGTATACAAATTAGTATGTTTTTCAACATGTAATATATTGAATTTGAGAATTGAGTAGTTTCCTATGTCAAAAATAAATTAATTCAATGTTTCAATCCAATAATATTGAATGTTAGTATATACTTTTCAATACACTTACATTTCGATATTTTAGCTAATTGTTAAGAAATGCTATGACGACTTAATTTGGGTTTCATACAAATTTCACAGAAAAGTATCGTAAAGTATTGAATTTGACTAGTTGGAAACTATCGTATTTATTTTATTTGAACATGTATCTATTTACACTAAACTTGTACACTTACCGAGCGGAGTTTCAGTGTCTGTGTCGGCGTCAGTCTGCTCCCCAAACTGCCTCACTGCTTGGTACACGGTCATGTTGTAAGGCAACACCGTGTCGCCGATCAAAAACTCCAGTTTATGATCAGACCTAAAATAGAAAACAGTGCTTATAACATTTGTTTCGTAAGGTTTTCGCGAATTAAAGTAAAAAGTTTTGTTAGTGAGTAATATAAGTTCTAACAGGGATTGAGCCACCTGTAACCTCACTCACACGGCGAAACACAATGCTGGGGCTATTTCAGGTTTCCCGCGAGGCTGTGGCACTCCGTTCAAGCCAATCCATTTCTGCCGAAGCTTGGCTCTGCCACACTTAGCTTTCATTAAAATTGTTTTAGAATCTCTTACGATTAGGCGTTTTTAATTTAATTTTACCCGACATTTGATGTAATTCAAAATAGTTTTCTAGAGATCTGTTAATTGCGAAATTAATACTGTTGTAGTTTTTATATCGTTTTGTAGCCAGACGAGACTCCTTTATTTTTTCTTTCACAATCATCCATTATGATTTCCTCTATAGTAGGTAAAATAAATTTAAAACTCGGTCGATAAATATGTATACAAGTTTAGGTACCGTCAAACGGGACGAATAGGATTCTAGGGGTGAATATGAATACACAGAAGAGGAATGAATAGATAACAGAAAATAAAAATCGCCAATATCCATTCACCGCTTTGAGTATCTATCTATGCACCCCGTTTTACCGTTACCTATATAAGTACGAAAAGGACTTACTCTGTGGGATTATGTGGGGGCGTGGCGAGCGAGTCGTCGACATCATCGTCGGAGGCGGCGTCGTCGTCCGAGTGCGGACCCCCGCCTGACTCCGACCGCGCGCGACCACTCGCGTAGCCTCTCTGAGCTAAATATCTGCACAAAAGTTATACATAGGTACATTCATATTGAAAACTAACACTGCATATTTTATCTATACTAATATTATAAAGTGGTAAAGTTAAAAAAATATATATGATTTAGAACCGCTAGTCGGCCGATGTTCCTGAGTGCTATAGACTATTATTGACACTCGTTTTGCGTATTTTAGTCGAGCTATCGCTTTATGAAGCCGCGGATAGAAGCTACTAAGAATATAAAGATGCATTGAGACTACGAAGATAAAAAAATATATTGTAAGTAAGTAATCTCTTTATATTTCTTACGTACCTTTCAATGGCTTGAACTAAAGCTAGCGGATCAATCCGCACTACGCCACCCTTCCATTGCTTGAGATTTGTGCAAGTCGGATGACGTTTGAGATCACACTGAAATAAAAACAATAAACATTAATATGAGGTGTCAAATCTAATTTATAGAAGTAAAATCGACAAAGATATGTAATTCGTGTTAGCTACACCATGTAAAACTTGAGAACTGCTGGAGAAACGAAGATTTAAGAAAATATATGACTAGCTGCTGTCTTGCCATAACCATCTTTACTAATATCATAAAGCTAAACAGTTTGCTTTTTTGAATTTAGTAACATCCAGATCTACTTGTTCGAATTCAACAATTCTTTTTGTGTTTGATATTCCAATTATCGGGGAAGGCTATATTTAGGCTACAAAAAATCACGATATGACCCATGACAGCTGAGGAGCGGGTAAAACCGCGCTGGAGGAGTTAGTACATAATATAAGTAAGAATGTATAGTACCATGAACTGTAAGGCATCACGCTATTATCAATAGCAGCTGAGGAGCGGGTTAAAGAGCCCGGGAGCGGCAAGTAAACAATATAAGTAGAATGTATAATAATAGAGTACCATGAGCTGGTGCGTGTTGAAGAACTTGAGCGCGGAGGTGGCGGGGCGCGCGGGCAGGTCGTGCACGCGCACGGGGAACTGCTCCAGGTGCGACACGCAGGCGTTCACCTTGGCCACCAGCGCGCACAGCGCCGCGCCCCCGCCCGCGCCCCCACCCGCGCCCCCGCCCTCCGCGCTGCTGCCCGCGCCCACCACGCCCAGCGCGCCCACGCCCGCTGCCCACTCCGCGCTGTAACATACATAACACGTTAGTACAAATTTTAATAAAGCAAACAATCAAGTGATTCCTAACACTTGAAATGTTCGTCTGCAATGTTGGCGCAATAGCTAGGCAACTGACTGCTGTGCAATGTGTTGCGGGTTGGGTTCCCGCACGGAACAACACTTTGTGTGACTAGTGTATGCGAATTGGGAAAACGCACCCACGACACAGTAGAAAATCCTAGTGTAAGGCACGTTAATTTTAAAAAAAACATTAAAAACGTAAAACGATACTCACTCAATGGTGAGGGGCATATCAGCGAACACGTGCAGGAAGAGTCGTAAGCGATCTTCGGCAGCGGCGACATTGTCTTCGCGACCTTCACCGTCTCCGTCGCGCGACTCGCCCTGTTCACCTTCGGGATCCACGCCCGTTAGGAACTGCAGCAGAGCTCCCAATACACCGGAGTGATTCACCTAGAAGGGTTAATGGTTACTTCAGTTCTATTTATCAATTGATTAAAAGAAATTTGATTGTCTCTGGAAAGCGATTTTTTTATATTGATTATCACGCTTTCGCATAAGGCGAGACCTTCACATACATGTGTCGTTGTCACAACAAGCAAATTATCATGAACGTTTTTTTACATTTTACTATCGTGGTGATTAATAGTGCGGTCAGGTAATGAAACATTAGCTTATATTATTAGCACTAAATGGCATTAAATGCTTCTAGCATTAAGTCCTCCGAAAATGTGTTGAGGTGTAGTAGCTATGTAAGATCTATGCTAGATAATGTAATGTATCGCATTTGTATAACTTAGTATTAAAAAGTAATCGATAGGGGACAGTCGTTTCGTTAAAACATACTCTCTTTATGGCGACCCTGCCAGGATGGTAAGCGCGTAACTCAAAAACGCAAGGACCAATTTTGCCAATTCTTATTTTATTGTGTTGGTTTTTGCCAGGAGAAAGTTCCTATGAAAGAAAAGTAGAGGGCATATTTGGGGAATCGCAACCAGTTCGAAGAAGGAACGGGCCGCTAGTACGCAATAACTAGCTATGTATGTGGTGTAAGAGTGAGTACAATGTACCTCGAAGGGCGAGACGTCGTGATGCAGCAGCGTGTCGCGCAGCTGAGTGAGCGCGGCGCGCGCGTGATGGCGCGGCAGCGCGGCGGCCAGCGCGGCCAGCTGCTCCAGCGCGCCGCCGCCGCCGCCCAGCGCGCCCCACGCCCGCACCACGCGCGCCGCCGTCCACTGGATCCACTCGCGCACCTTCTCCCTGCAGACCACAACCTCGCGTTAACAACCTCTGCCGGACTACCTCTTGGAACAGATGCTTGTTACAAGCGACCACCAAACAGTGAATTCGTTTTTCTATAAATGAGTAGCCATTCTATAACAATCTCCACTCAGGCAAGACAGAGTTTCAATATTTCTGCCTATAAACTACTTCTGCTCTGGTGGTGCGACCTAAATTAGTCGGTCACATCACATTCAAACATATTACGATTTTCATTTACCTCTATAAAAGGAAAATTACCTACTCAAAGTCAATGTTGTAATAGTCAATAAGAAAGTGTACACGTTTCGGATTTCGCAATTAGTTTACTAACACAGTTGTTATCTTTGATGTTATCATTCATCATGTTTGTTGACTACATTTACTTTCTTAGAAACTAAATTATTTAAATCGATAATGGCAACATTAACATATTTCAAGTATGATAGTATTGCCATAAAAAGACACTTACTTGTTCTGCACAGTGAGATTAGCGGAAGTATGTGGCGAGGCGAGCAGGCCGGTGTCCTTGTGTGTGTGCGGGGAACGGCCCCAGCGGGACGGGTTCAGCGACGACAGGAACGAGGACGTCTTCGAAGTACCGCCCACACGCGTCGCTGAACGCGCGCCTGACGACACGCCCGAACCTGGACATATCAGCGTCAACTCATTAACTATACAGTTGCATGAACGTAAATTACTTTGCTGTATGATCGTCAAAACTGATGTCTGCAATATTCCTAACTTTTTTTGGGTCTATCTTAGTTGACAAGTATTGATAAAATAAACAAATAAATAACCATTGCCTACATAAATATGTCAAGAAATTGATATGACCCTATACAAGAGGGTTGGAACTGACCATCGATGTTCAACATGAAAGAAAATAATTTAAAAATGTTATCTCTCAAGAGTGACATATCACATCAGTTACAGAAAATTACAATCATATAAAGGAGATGTAGTTACCGTGCGGCTGTGCGTGGTGAGCGTGCTGTGTGTGATGCGCGTGCGCATGGTGCGCATGCGCGGGGTGGGCGAGATGCGCGTGGGGCGGGGCGTGCGCGTGCGCGGGCGCAGGTTCGTCGCGGCGACGCGCGTGGCGACCCCCCGCGCCCCCCGACCTCTTCACCGCGCGCTTGCGCTTCAACATCTCCGCTAGCTGCAAGGGACTGCTCGACCTGCCACACACGATTCATTGTACTCACATACATACAAGAACATTATTCCGATATCTCCTGCTAGACAAATCCTACGATACCACAGTTTCCAACCCGTCAAATTCCACTCTTTTATTGAAATATCAAAAACGAAACTTTTCTATGATCGCAACATGTCGTCATAATGTATTTTTGTAAAACAGCATACTTATTTCTAAAAAGTTAACTAGAGAAACGATTTTTTTTTGTATACTACATAATTGTATATCAAATTAATGATTAAAAAGTATGATTTTATTTTTAAAACTCGTTATATCTATAAGTCAGATTAATTTATTTTTGACTTAGGAAACATGGCCAGATGACGGGATTGCCACATAATAACAATCATATCCAACAAAGAAATTAAAATAAAAGTCACGGTCACTATGAATACCTGTGCACCGAAGTTGCAGACATCTGTGTATGTGTAGAAGCTGAGGCTTGTCCAGGTTCTGAACCACTTCCATCGCTACCAGTGGCTAAAATAAATAACCCAACCTTTAATGACAATAACTATGGTATGCTTATACAACGATTTAGGTATTTAATAATGTTTCAAAATATTAATTTTAAATTAACTATTTCTTGATACAAAAAGGTTTGTGCAAAACTGAGCTTATTAAAAGACTTGAATGTGAGAACAACTACTTTTTATATGGAAACAATAAAAAAAGATACTGACGCATGGTGCTGGCAACGAATGATCCCGAGGCGGAAAACGCTAGGGACAGATTGTTCTGATGTTCGAGAGACGTCGCTGAGGTGGAGGCGGGCGGGGACGAGCCCCCACTGGAGCGGACGCTGCCACCGCCGGGCGACTGCGGGAGGCAGACAGAGACATTATTACCTTGCTGGTTGTATTTGTGGTAGGGAAGTACGTCATGTGGGCTAGGCTTGGGGCGCACCTTGTGCTGGGGCTGGCGCGGCGGCGCGGCGGGGGGCGCGCGCTCCGCCAGCAGCGCCACCTGGTGCAGCACGCCCTCGCGCCGGAACTGCACGCCCATCTCCTCCGGCAGCCGCTGCATCAGGATCTCCGCCAGCTGCAGCGACCCCACCACTATGCGTAGGTCGCTCGACGCCATCATGCCCGCGATGTGAGACGATATTACCTGCACATGATTACATATATTTGTTAAACAATATTTCACAAAACCAAACTGATCACTAAAATAAGTATTCGACTCATAGTTTAATGCTAAAAATGATTGGAAATGGAATGTACGAATGTAGTTTCGTACCTGCATCTTGAGCACTTGTCTGAGCAATGGTGCGTCGGCATAGTAGACACACCGCAGTATAGCTTTGAGCGCTTGCGAGCGCACGGCGGGGCCGGCAGAGCTCCAGTATACTTCGTGCAGCACGGCCAGTAGGGCGCGAGCCAGGCCCGGGTTCGAGCGCACCATAGCGATACGAGGATCTGTTGAAGTCAATACACACTGGCATAATATACATGTTTCAGGAAAAAAATATATTTTTCATGTGGGTTAGTGTTACAAAGAACAAAGAAGTTTTTATACGAGCATTTAAAAAATGAAGTGACATAATAATATGTCACGATCGTATACGGAACTGGAAACTGGTGAGACGAAAAGAAAAAATACGAGTCGAATTGAGAATCTCCTCCTTTTTTTTAAAGTCGGTTAAAAAGAAGCCCAACTAAAAAGGGGTAGAGAGAGAAGAAATGAAGTAGCTGTACAGTATTTGTTGTATTGTGTATATTTGTTAACCTGGAGCGGGCGCGTGTGAGGAGGCGGGCTGGTCGCTGGGCTGTGGCGCGGGCGCGACGCGCTGCACGGGGCGCGCGGTGCCGGTGTGGTCGTTGAGCTGCTGCATGGCCGTCAGGTCCACGGTGTACGACCGGCCCAGCGTCGTCAGGCACACCTCCTCCTCGCCCGCCGCCGCGCCGGCCTCCAGCGCGCGACTCTCCGCCCACGAGTACGATCGCCACACACCTGCCAAACAATTACAATCATGAAACAGTTGCCCATTGTCCTTCAAACACTCATTATAGATATTGTATTGTTAGAAGAATATTATAGGAACCGAGGAGACGTTACCTCTATCATCCCGCCACTGCCAGTGCGCAGTGCGCTCGGTTGAAGCAGACCAGGGTCTGTCTAGATGTGAGTCTACGGCGAAGATGCCGTCAGTCGGCAGACGCGGCATCAGCTCGCCAATCAGGCACGTGATCTCGTACAACTCTTGCGGGAGCCGCGGTATCAATTCAACTTGCTGTGTAGGATAAGAATTGAATTAAAACACTGTTCATAACATTTAACCAATTAGGTTGACGTTTTAGGTATGCCAAGTCTGTTCGTAATCCAAACTATCTATACTAATGCGAAAGTGTTCTGTCTGTTTTTCTGTCAGTCCGGCTTGCATGCAAAAACTACTGAATCGGAAATGTGATACACCCATGGTATAGAGCCCGAGAAAGAAAGTGGTAGAGCAGTAAAAAAAAACTTTCGAAAACGGGAGCAAACGCTCATTTTATATCAACTGAGCTAATTTTAATTACCACGCGGACGGAGTCGCGGTATAATAATAATCATAACAATCAGTTTTAATATCGTGTGTAATACAAAGTTGAAGGTAAGATAAATGCAAGCAAAGTAGCATGGGATGGTGGGGGTGGGGCAGTACCTCCTGGTGCAGCGTGGAGCCGGTGAGCAGACAGAGCAAGGTGTCTGCGATGGAGCGCTGGTGCAGCTGCAGCGCCAGCTGGGGGCAGGCGGCGCACATGAGCCACAGCAGCCGCAGCACCGTGATGAACGTCGCGCCTGAGATCAGCGCCGGCTGCACCACCAGCTGCGGACAAACATACATGTTCATCGCATTCACACTACATACATATTACTTATTTTCACTAATTTTGTTCAACTAGAATTCGACCACTTATTCATTTAAGGCACGCATATTGCATAGTCAAAATTTACCTTATTCTGAAGGCACAAGTTTCGTTTTCAATGAAGTAGTATAATATTTAAATATTTTCTAACTTTTACAAAATCCAAACTAATAATATAAATGCGAAATTACCTCTGTCTTGCTTTCACGCCTAAACTACTGTACCCATTTGTGTAAAATTTGGTACAGATGTAGTTTGGAATTCAAGATGTCCTATCTTATCTTATAGGATAGTTTTTAAACCAAAAATCTGCAGGAAGCGGGCAAAAGCTAGTGTATAATATATTCAATGTTCAAGGAAACTCACCAATTGTTGTAAATTGGTGAGTAGTTCAGGAGTAGCAATCTCTTGCAGGCGAGCCGGGTCGTGTTGGAAACTATCCACGAGACGCGAGAACGCTAAGCACACGCATTCTACTGATTTCTTGTCTTGTTGGGTGAGTCTGAAACGAACGAACAAGCATTATGAATAACTGCTAAGCGAAACTGACTACGTCATTTCTCGTGCAATAATGCTCTGGCTAGTCTGGCTTGAAAAAAGTAAAATAAAAATAATGAAATAAGTAACTTAATTTTAATTTTACAATTTGGCCGTATAACAAAATTAATTGATTTTTTCTATTACTTTATCATAAATAGACCTGGATATTAAAAAAATATGTTTAGTTAATACTGCACAATAAAATATTTTAAATAGTTACCTATTAGCCAATAGTTGAAGAGAGTCTCTAACTAGGTGAAACTCATCTGGAGTGAGGTTCTGACAGCAATTAGCTGTAATGGAGAGGGCGGCGCGCTGTGCGTTGATGGAGAAGAAGTCCAAGTAAGTCAGGCAAGCTGATACTCCACGCTGGAATAATAAAATAATGTCAAGTCATCACATCAAGTTGTCTTAAGTAATATTAAAACAGGAAAACAAGATCTATTGGGACAAGATAAATCAATTGCTGATAAAAATTATAAAGAACACTGAATCATACACAGATCTATAATATAAAAATAACTAACTAACATAACTCAACAACGCCTGGACCAATTTTGCTAATTCTTTTTTTGGTATTTTCGTTACTATTAGGAGTAGGTTCAAGAAAACTTTAGAAAAGTAAAGGGGAATAGCGGGTATCCTTTTGGAGCAACCTTTTTCGAGCCGTGGAAGTTCGTTTGCAAAACATATGACTGACACCGGGATAGTCGGATACCCGTACGAAGCAGGGGCGGTCTGCTAGTTATAAATAGATATCATGAAGCAAACAATAAAAATAAAAACAATTAACATTTGAACTTCAGTTAAATGTTTATCATTGCCACACTCGAGAAAGTAGATGAAAATGGTATTTTTATCAGTCAAACATCGAATTTTGTGTGATTTAATTATTACTTACAGCTTGTAATATAGCTTTGGAGTGTCGTCTAGAAAGCATGTCAAGCGCAGTGAGGCTCTGCTCAGCAACGTCCATGCAGGTTATGGCTTGCAATTTGTCCAGGAAGGCAGGTACTGCCAGCGCCACCGCACCGCTACTGCGGGGCAGCGCCTCCAACATGTAAGTCAGAGCACGACATGCGTGGTTCATCTGAAATGGTTAAAATTTATTATAAACACGTACTCTTATACTTATCAATAAATAATTTAAACACAGCATTAAAGCTAGCAAAACAGTATAGAGAAATCAATGTAAGAAATAATCATATTCATAAAACCGACTTTTCGTAAGTTCATTATACAGAACACATATTCTGTACGACTAACGTTTATGTAATTTATCTAGAAAGTAATATTGATTACTTGTGCGTAGACATTACAACTGACATCAAACTTACATGAGAAAAGAGGAGAAAATAGTTTTATAGTTCCCGCGTTCAGAAGTTGATGTCGTGCATGTACTGACCATATCAAAGTTGTGTTCAGCAGCGAGTAGATTGACGAGCGCGGGCACGACCTGCCGCACGGGGAAGCCGGCCAGCGTGTCCTCGTTGCCCATCACCAACAGCTGGCACATCTCGATCACGGCCTGCAGCTGCTGGCCCTCGTCGCCAGTCGCCTGCAGACCAGCCAGGAGCTGGGCTGCTTTAGATGCAGCTGGTAACAATAAAAATAGTTATTCTAAGTGTTTCAATTAAATTCAATGTCGAAATTAATTGTCAAATTTCAAACATATCTCCTTATAAACTTTGTGTTTCTTGCAAATAAATATTTTAATTTGAACTACATGGTTTAGTTTCAACAATAGAAAATCACAAAACAGACAAGCATAAAAATTTGGAACAATTCAAATGTTAAAAAGAGAAAGTGATGTCCTCAACAGGTTAAAAACTTCACTATTTGGTATGAAATGTAAAACGATTTCATTTATAGTGATAGTTACCAGAATTGGCAGTGACAGTCCTATGCAGCAGATGCTGCATGCGCGGCCCCAGGGCTCCGAGCAGATGCGGGGGCAGGCCGCGAGCCTCCAGCAATGCCTGCAGACGGCCCACCTCGCCCTCCTCCGAGGAAGACTCCTCGGCGCCCGCACCGCCCGACCCGCTGCCCCCCACGCCACTACCACCCCCGCCGCCGGCGCATTCTTCCGACGAAGACGATGCTGCACACATTATAATTAAAATGTTGTTGTTTTCGTTTTAACTAATTACTTTGCAAACGAATTTAACAACAATTTAGACTGATAAATATAACTCGAGGTTCAAAGTAACATGAGACTTTCAGCTGATTCTGTTTGGAATGTTATATTGGTTAAAACTTACCCTTGCCCTTAGGCTTAGCCTCGCTAGCTGCGTTGTCAGGCATTGATGCTGACGCTGAAGCCGGCGGAGTGGAAGATGTGGATGCCACAGCACCCTGCCAAACCAACACAAATGTTTTTTCTTTTAAAAAGACGTCGCCCCTCACTAGCATTTTCTCCTGTGTCGTAGATGCGTTTTCAAATATACAATTTCACATGTTTGACACCCAGACCCGAAACAACAATTTGTGGATCACACAAAGAGTTGTTCCGTGCGGGAATCGAACCTGCGACATGTCGCGCAGCAGCCAGTTGCCCAGCCATCACGCGATGCAGTCAAAAATGTTCTAATTATAGTTAAACAATTATGTTGTTTAGTCATTAAATATGTGTGTAGTAATTACCGTGGTTAATGGCTGGGGGTGAGACCGGCTGGACGCACCACCAGTACTGGCACACGAACCCAGACTGCTTTTGCCTGTGAAATTATATTATGTATATTATGTTACAATCAATGGCATACTTTAATAAAGCTAAAATAAAAATTAAATAAAAAACTAAGCTAAATACTTATAAATACAAAGTAATTATGAATGTATAATTGGATAGTTTGCTCTTTTTCAATAGGGGTTGTGTTGTTCAAGATCATTTTGATTGAGATGTAGATTAATTTACAAGTTGGTTTCTATGGTTCTGCTCAAAGTAAATGACAAGTATGAATGCATGTAGATTTTTTATTGTTACAAGTATTTTGCAGCCTACTTGAGGAGTTGGGGAAATAAAAACTATGGCAAAGTTTTTTATAATTTAGGATATGGATAGGACGATAATATGATGATGATATTGTAGACTATTTATTGAAATGTAATTTATGTATCAGTGTTTCTGCTCAAAGAAAATGACAATATAATGAATGCATGTAGATTTTTTATTGTAACTAGTATTTTGCAGCATACTTGAGGAGTTGGGGACATTAAAACTTCAGTAAAGTTTTATGTAATTTAGGATATGGATATTAAGATAATGAAGGGATGGTGATATTGTATAGTTCGTTCCATAATTAGAGACAATAATTTGACAACAGCTAATGTCAAACTACAAAATAATGTGGCCAGATTTTTCAACATAGTGATGGGCCCGAGTACGATGTTTTAAATAAAATACCGATACCGTTTTTTACAAAATACCCTGAGCAAAATAAAACAACGTTGCGCTGATGTTTTTTATAGTTTAGTCGAATAAATAATAATAATTTAAAATAAAAATGCGAAATCCAAGACTGGCTAAAAGAAAAGTATTATATTTGAGGAACCTATGCTGAAACCCGAGCTGTTGGAGATTTCCCGAAAAGAGAAGAGTAATTATGAATGATACGTCGTGGACTGATGGCTGCTAAAAGGGAGGACACTATTTTACTTTTGCCTCCTTACCATTGAGATTTTAATCCGACTGAATTAGTATGAGCACAGGAAGGTACCAGGGAAAGTAGCTAAAAATAATAAAGCTTTTAAAATGCACGAAGTCCAGAATTTAATTTCGGTCTTTCGGTCAATACCGGTCGCGGGACTTCACTATTTATGAAATGGAAAAAACTTGCAACACTCGAAATGTCAAATCGTTGTCTCTAATTATGGAACGAACTATAGACTATTTATTGAAATATGATTGATATTGTTGTAATGGTAGCGTGTTACCTCGTTTGTCTCGACGCGTGGACGCTGGCTGCGGCTGCGGCATGTCGCGAGCCCGCGCCCGCCGCCCGCCTGCCGCACTGCTGCCTGCGCCCTCGCTGCCCGATACCTGCACAACAAACACCATTATCGACACCACACTAACGGAAGCACCCTAACCTTATACTTGAATCACATCATCATCACCCTATAGTAACCCACTGCTGACCAAAGGCCTCTTCTCACACGGAGAAGGTTTAGCATTAAACACCGCGCTCGCTCAAGGCGGAACGACGATTTCAAACTCATAATTGTAAGTCCAGGTTTCCTCACGATGTTTTCCTTCACCATACTTTAGTGATGTCTAAATAATCATAGAAAGTATATGACGTATAAGTCGGAAAAAGTCACATTAGTAATTTCCAGGTTATGAGAAACAAGAGTTTTAACCTCCGAGTCACCACGACCTCTACACTTGAATAATATACTATACTAAAACTAGAATCACTCATCCACAGATAGACAAGACTATTCCTATACATTTTAGGCGACCTAGCTGCGATCCCCAAGCCTGCCAAGCGTAGGTACAATGATGAGTCAATCCATAAAGGTGAACATGAGGGAATAATGTGTGCTTTCCGGCTGATCAATGATGATGATCCCCAAAGTTATAAACACAAACAAATTACATAGCAAAGACAATTTTTATAAACACGATTTTTTTTTATTTATCTTTAAACATACTGTGTTCTTTTTTATCTACATTACTTTCTATCATTGATTCATTTATTTTGTTAAACTAAGAATTGCAAGTTACTTCAATTTTGAAACCTTGAATGTAACTCGTCTACATAATGAATGTATTACTTCCATCTACACATATATAATAAAACAAACTGCAAAGCCATTATATTGGAAGTACTTTCTTATCTTAGAAGCGTAACCTTAGCATTTATATTTTGAACTTATCACCATATTATTGAGCAATACTCAATAGCAAATATCAGCTAGTTTATTATAATTTGGAAATGGCCCTGGTTGGTGTTATTTACCTTTACATTGTACAGGTATATTCACCAGTACAACCACAATTAATTGAACCTACATATTTGATACATTTTAATGAAGTAGAGCAAACAATATACCTAGCAGCAATGGTATCGATCGACACAAGAATTATTAGGCGCAATTCGATGTATTTATGTTGTCAGTATCAATTGCGTGGGCCTAAAGTTCAGCAAGGCTAACGTTTCAATAAACAGAGCAGCGGTACATAGCTCGATATGAAAGTATGAACCTGTCGCTTGGACGCAGTGTCTTGTCGCTGACGCTGAGAAGTGCTGGCTCCCCTCGTCAGGCAAGCACCCAGGGTCGCCCCCGTCGCAGCTGCGATGCTCTGCACACAACACAACTCTCACTTGCCACACATCACAACACCGCGCACATATTTCCAAGTAAGCAATGCACTTCTACACATGAATTATTCATAATGTAATCTATAATGAACAGCTATATTTCATTTTCGCGAAGATATCAGCTCTGACGTCTGCTTCAAGACTGAGCGATCGCACGACTACCACTGATAATGATATTCAATACAATGTAATTATTACTATTGAGATTGTGATTGGTTGAATGGTTGAACGACATTGCTATGTTTCCGGTTAAAAACAATCGTCATTTTTGGTAATTAAACACAATGCGCACATACTTACAATCATTATCGAAGACGTAATTAAGAACATGGAAAATATCGAAACAGACAATAGTTTATTGGAGTCGTTAAAGTATTACTGAAAATATTAAAAGTGAATAGTGAATGAAGAACATTACCCTGCGCGCGTTAGTTTGACGCAAATAAGGAAGATCTCGCGGTACTATTAATAATTTGCTCGCCGAGCTGTGTGCTTTGGACGAACTTGCCTCTGTAAACAAAAACGTACATGCATTACATCAAATGATTATAAAGAGGTAAATGTTATCGCGATTATAACGATCGGTATCGATATTTACCTTGGATATCTTTGTCTGGTAGTGGCGGGGTACTTGGCGCGCTGGGAAGGCTGACGATGCTCTCGGAGGCACTACTATTGCGGCCCGCTAGTGTTTGATTGTGTACAACGTCGCTGGGCGGGTTGGCTGCAATATCAATATGCATTATCTGCGATGAATGACTGTGCTTGATACACGTGATAACACCACTTGATAAGCTACGCCTCGAGACCTACATTATGTTCTAATAAATAGACAATTCGTGTGTAACTTATCATTGCTCTCAATTCAATATTAATTTAATGAACACAATTTTGAATCAAATGTTAAGCACCTAATATCTAATCTTGAGTTAAAATTGCAAGTTAAAGGGGTTAAGTAATAAATTACCTGCGTGTTCACTAATGACAGTCGATGTGGGAGGCCCGAGATGGCTGTTTCTGTTGCGGAGCAGATACGTGCACGAAGCAGCTGAAGGTAGGTCGGCCTTGTCGAGTTCGTGTTTTGATGACCTTCCAGTACTGCTGGTATCTGTTTCGTCTTTGCTGTGCGAATCTATTTTAAATTTCTTTCGGCACTCTTCTACGTTGAGCAAACAGCTGCTCTTCCTGCTTGACAGAGAGCGATGTGCTGATCGCTTCCTCTTCTTCCCTTTTCGTCGATTAGCAGTCGGACTGTATACAGAATAATCTGAGTCTAGTAACTCTGTGACAGTAGACGAGCTGTATGGAGAATATGCAAAATCTCTTTCGTCCAGAGGCAGTAATCCGCCTTCCGACTGATTAGGCTGAGTGGAAGTGGCTGTAGCGTTCAGATTCAGTGGTTGTTGAGTTAATGTATTGGGTTTTAAATTATTCGGAATTTGCTCACAAGCACTCTCGCTGGATTTAAGAGCAGTCCGTGAGCGTGTGCAATATGCGACGCACTCCTCTGCACTGTTGTTCGATAAAGTCTTACGTTTTTTCCTGTCATGCGAGGAAGTCCGTCCGCGTTTTGGGTGAACGCTGGATTTATGGGCGTCACCGCCTTTGAATTCGGTAGTATCACAGCGTGTCTCGTATACGTCTGTGCCGTAGGACCAGCGTTCTGTTATAGAATAGTCAGACCTGGGCAGAGTGTTAATGAGGCGCGAGCTTCTGCGCAGCTCGACGTGAGCGTAGGGCTCCGCGTCAGACACGCGGCTGGACGAGTGTCGACTGGTGGAGCGCGGCAGGGGTGACGTCACGTTACGTCTGCTCCGACGGCTGTGGCTCGCTCGACGCACCTGACGCAACCACCGACCGCCCACCACCCTGCTAGGAGAAGACCTGTACCACACAAAACACATTGGTCATTATTCCTGGGTATCTAAATTATTATTTATATTTACACATTCAATGCCTATAATACACACACAGCTTCACACAGAGCAACACAAACCATGTTAGGTATTCAACACCAAACACCAAAGACACTTTTTAAATAAGAGTATTAAAAAAAAAACTTTATGACAACTTTACACAATCACCAATTAATAGTTATCTCATCATTGTAATGACAGCTGAGGGTGATTGAATAAATATAAAAAATGTTATATTATATTTTATGTGGGTAGTGTTTAAAATACTATGTGGGGCTCCTATTTACATTAGATTTGGAATCTGTAATTATAATAACTTTGGTTTTTCCAAACTTTATTTGTTTTCAATCATAACTAAAAACATTATATTTTGTCTTGTTTGAATGAAAACAATATCTATTAGGAACCCATAACAACAAGTTTATGGTTTGGTTAAAAATGGAAGGACCACATAAGTAATATACTTACAGCAGCAGGTGTTGTTTCACGTTAAATTTGAAAGAACAACACCAGTATTTGCTGTTCATTTGAAAAAGACACTGTGCCTAGGCTATGACAAAAAAAAACATGTTTTGTAACTATTTTTTAACTAACAAATAATACCTTTCTCTATCAACTGTTAGATCTATTTATAAACTATTACCATTAACAAAGCACTATAATTTAGTTATTATAAACCAATTAGGCATTCTAGAATGTTTCGTTTATTACTGTTATGACATTAATTAATTAATATTTTCTTGATTACTTGTTACAAACATATGTTTGATTACAAGTAGTGGTAATTTTACAAACTTTTACAAAAACCACAAACTGTAACCTCTCTGATAGTAATGAATTTTCTGTAATAGAAATGATAACCTAATTAAGCAAACAAACACAGTAAAAACCTAGGTTTAATTAATAGATATGAATAATACCATAAAAATAAGTCATGATGCTAGCCAGGAAATATAAAATCCATTGAATGGTTATAATTATTGTGTGCTAGGACAAGCTGCTTACTCACTATACTAAACTATTTACGCATTTAGAATGAATACATTAAATGAGGTGGTGGCCTAGATTTTTTCATTAGTCAATGTACTGTGTACTACCTACTCAAAGACGCGACAGCTATTTTAATCTGTATTCTTGTTCAATGTGCTAAAAATGTATGCTTATAAAAGAAGATAGTATAATGGAGTGTTATGTTTAATGTTATTTACTAACCAACAAATTAAAAATAACAAGTCATATTTTAAGTTATAACACTGTTATAAACAAAAGAAAACTATTCATAGTATTTGTGAATTACAGACTTATTTGTAAGTTGGAGGTGTGGTTATTATGATTCACAGTTCATCAAATTGTGGAACAATTTATTCAAAAAATTTATTTAGTCTGAAGTCTAAACTAGTTGCAAAAAAGCACCAAGGACCAAGAAAATAATTATACATTACTGTGGCTACAATACAAATGCCCTGATATTTTTCTTTTGTTGTGATTATAGAAAGTAATTTAAATTCAAAAAACACCATGTGAAGACATCACATGGTGTTTTTTCCTATTAAAAACAAATTATTGTTGAAGATAGAAATGACAAAAAATTACAAATTAGGTATGCTTTAACATGTCTTATCGAAGGCTACATAGCCTCATAGATATGTAATCCTTATTACTAGTACCTTGGTTTACTCTTATTATGCAGAGCTTGGTCCATAATAATGTATGATGAATGTACTACTGTTCCACAACCATTCAACTAGCAGGCAATTCCTAAGGCATTAAGTCCTCTTGAACATAAATGTGTATTAAGTGTATAACAAATACAAAATAATAATTCTTTGACCACCAGCACCAGATACAGGCATGATGATAAATGCTCAAAAAGTTGTTCTTCCTATAGTTTATATTTAGTGGGAATAAAGATGTTGCAATATGGTAAACAGTTTCAATACCACAGATAATTATTGAATTAGATGCAAAATATATTGTTAATATAGAAAAAAACTTCTTGCTCTTCCTGAATTTTGTGGGTTTTATCTTATGTGGCCTAATGTGATGGTGTACTCCATATAATTTAAATCCTATTGATTTAAAAGAGACAATGGCAATTTATTAAACAACTGACAATACTTACATCCTTCCAGAATGTTCTATAAATACAGAATAACTGAGTCTTGTGACATTACCCAAAATCATGGTTAAATACATCATTGCAAGTAATTAGGTAATATGGTAAATACCAATCATGGCTACTAAATATTCCACATAAGATAAGACAGTGGTCGCAATACATGAAGTGTCATTTACTACAGGAAACACAGTTCAAATTAGGGCATGTGTTGATGTTTGTGTAAATATCACATTATTGATAATATATTATCGAATAGAGTTGAGTCGATATTACTGGATTAGGCAACATTAAGTTGTTTATCCTATGAAAATCAGCTGATGTAGATTAAGTAGTTATCTATAACACCTTCAAAATATTTCCTACACCATGGCATTTCCCTCGGTCTCGGTTGGACGGTATATGTGATACCAAATTAACATCTGGTATGTCACTGCTTTGCAACAATTGATGATTACAAATTCTTACCCGCTGGACTCTCTCGTGAGTGCAGAGTGCGACGACGGTGTGATGTGTTGCTCGGCCATAGACGACGCTGAGGGACACACGCGGCTGCTTGTGTGGGGCCTGCGCAGGCCGCCCGCGCGCGCTACCTGCCCGGCACCATGCCAGGGCGAGCGCTACGACGCTGTCTCCGCATCCACTGCACTACGCCACACTGACTCACTACCACATCACACCAGTCCACACTCGAATATTGCCGTCAGCTTTGCTTTGCTCACTACACTCAACACGTATCACCACGCGACAAATGACACACCGTGAAGCTATCTGCAACAAAAGATGAAATACACAATCAGCGATCGAACAATGCTGCGTTACATAAACATTTTAACAATTAACACTACCTGTCAACCAAGCAGACAAATTCACTAAACGTTTAACCGGACACGAATATACTGATATATCAACACGTCGATTACTAAGAATTTCCAGGCTTTCAAGCAACACGTTTTATAGAAATTATTGTAATGGATGACACATCAAGGACAGAGCTACGATTTTCGAGTTATTTTTCAATCCATTCCACACAGCTGGCTGGCTGTCATGTCTAGTATTGCCAATGAAGAAAAGAAAAATGCTACCAATATAGTCTTTGGTAGAATTTCAGTGCAATGTTCTGAAATTGTGAACAAATGACTCGCATTCAAGTTATTCTTGTATGAAAAGTCAAAATTCAAGAAAATAATAATAAATTTTAACTGCAAGCGTTATACCAATATTTTTTAGCAAAGCGAAGAATCCACTTTTTTTTAAATAACATCTTTGTATCTAAATACTGTTAAAAGATCCAGATTCTTAAACCGATTCCGGAATTTGTAGTCTTAAGTAAATTACTAATATGTTCCTGATACATACTAAAATTACCAAAATAGTAATTTATCATATTTAAGCAACATTTAGTAGAAAATTAAAATCAGTGTGCGAGTGAATAAGAAAGATAACAACAACAAAGCGAACGAAGAAGACCAACGTTTTTATTATTTTAGGACACGCATAGGAATATTTTTAGAACAATCTTACATATTCATAATATTTATAAGATGATTTTCTTATTTATGCAGAAAAATATTTATAAATAAATCAGTGCTATATTAATAAATCAGTATTTTTACCGACTTCATTATGTGGAGTAAATGAAGCATAGGTATATGATGATCCCTACCTACTAGGATGGATTGATACACCTTATTATGTTGTTTCACTTCAGTAAGTGAAATAAAAATAGTGATAGCACATAAAGTGTTGTCTCCTATAGTTAATTCATTATTGACTAGCGACATTGCGAGGTGGACGTACGATCGATTTATCTACATACATTTATATGCTTATCGATTATAGTAAGAAAGGCTATTTTAAACACGAATAAGTGTAATAATAATGTAACTGTTTATTACCATACACTCAAATTTCGTAATTACGTCATTGATATTACCCATGACAGGCCAGTCACTAGAAAAACATATGGAACGCTTAGTTTTATATTAATAACGTCCGCTATAATAATAACAAAGCAATGGCACCGCTAGCTCACATCAAAATATAAACAATACTTAATTTTCATTGCACGATGACCTTTATCCTCAAATTATATATTTCCATAATATTAAGAGTTAATACTGCCTGTTTTTAATGTTGACTTTCACTAATTTTGTTATGGTTGCTTTATAGGTGAGTGGGTAAGGATGTGTGTGAGCTATCGCGGTTCCGTGGGCGGGGCAAAGGGCCAGGGATAGTGGTGAACGACCGCGCTGTCGCGGTGTCCGCCGTCCGGTGCGACGGGCGCGCCGGCTCCTGGCTAATATGGAATAAGCTTGAAAATGATTATGTATGTGGAAACCCGATGCAAGTACATCGACGTGTCTTACATAGCAAACAGGCAGGGTACGGTCTTTGTTGTAAGTATATTATAAAGGTAGGTGACCTTTATAATATACTTATTTGATAATAAATTTTGCATTGACTTGCTTCCGGCTCGTAGTACGCTAGCTCGTACCTATGCAGAATTTACCAACACCTAACGACAAAAAAAAACCAGATTAAAAATCACAATAAGAAACAGACTCACTATGAAACAGACTGCAGAACATATTATCATAAATAGGACACCATTTTGTCACCACAGTAAAGAAAAATAAACCTAACAGTAAAATGTAAACCGTCGCGTTGGCGTCGCAGCAGAGCAGCAGCAAACTATCATATTTCAATCACACAATGAACCTCAAGGAACTTGTTACAAGGACCAAATAAAGGAACCAGGTGCAGTTGCCAGGTAGCAAAATAACAATCGATTCACAGTTCACCTTTATTTTAAACTCGAACTCCAGTTGCTCAGGTAGGTACACGAACTCTGGGATGCACCTAACCCAAAATGTTTTGCCACGTGACGGCTTGTTGAACTGTGAGTTGACCAAATAAAAAACAACGCAAATCGGCGTCGCCACTCGGCACAGTAACTGATTTGTTATTCCAAAATGACCTTCCTTGACTCTGAACGTTTATCCTCTCATCGGCTAACAAAAACTTTACCTACCGGCTCATTGTCTTAAAACGTAACATTGAGTCCGCCTCGCACTGACTACTTTAAATGTCACGGATGGAGTGGCTTTTTTATTTATTTTTAATTTCTGCCGTGTTTCGAGTCATAAACGAAATCTTAGCCCTAACCCTAAGAAGAAATATGTTGCCTCTGCGGTATACTCTCTTGTATAATCTAAAGTCAGCCAAGAAGATAATTAGATTTTTCCGATATCTATGGTAAACGAAACCAAATAAAAATAATAGTAAGAAATTGGATATTGGGATTTGGGAACAACGGTTTAGTTTTTGTTTTGATTGAGATTTTGATCGATTGAAATATCTATTATACGATTTTGCGCTTTGTTTATAATACAATAATACACAGTTTGGTGTGGTTTTGGATGCGTAGCGAGGGGCTTGTGCTACAAGGCCGCGGGTCGACAACCCAGCGGTACTGCAGCGGCCACGTGCGAAACCAGCTCACCTCGACAACAACGCAGCGGCGGACTGAGGACTGTGAAACTGGGCAGTGACAAAACTCCCACACCTATTTTTATTATAAACTACTTCATGTTTCACTTTCTATTTGATAATTAACATTTCCCTAACAGTAAACATAAATTTACAGATCAATTGGATATAAACCCGTAACTCCTATCTATGTATCAATTTGTTTTATTAAGTTTTAGTCCAATGTTTCAAAGTGGCTATGGTTGCTTATTTTTGTTTGTTTTGTTTCGATTTAATAAAAAAATACCTATGAGTGAATGAAAAGTATTGTTTACGATCAATCAGCTGTTCTTTTAAACTGGGGTGACTTCACGAACACAGGTAGTACATCCGGCTATTCCGGCTCCATAGAAGAAATAAGCATTTGCAAGGTTTTGTCTCGAATACAGGTAGTGCAAAGATTTAATAAAAGAATTATTCTTCAATAGACTAACTCACATGCATAAAATGACAGAACAAGGTTGGCCAGCAAGGTGAAGAACATGCTAAACGATTTCAAACGTTTTAAGATATTTTTACTTCAGCACTTCACAAAACTGCAAATCCAAAGTTCAGCCTAATTCGGAACAAGAGTGTAACTAAATCAATGTGCAAGTTGAATTACGTAGGGTGCATGGTGTGCACCCTAGGGGAGCTAACAGCCGTCCCACGGTGGCGCCCGCGCCCCCGCGTCCTACCAAACATACGCGACGTCTCTGGCTCCCTAGCGGTTCAACGACCCTTCAACAAACCCCCTGTAAAACCTATAGCAAGCCAGACAGATCAACTCCCGTTCATAAACAATCGATAGGCGCCGCAGACAGACAGGTACAGATCTATATGTATGTAGCTGCATTCAATTTGATATGCATGCGCTGGACTGGTTTTGGTAGCTGTATTTATTGGGTACAAAGACAGAAAAATTTCCAACTTTAGTATATTGCCTTCAGATATAAAAGTCATTCGATCGCATTTTCGATTAGAGGTTTTTTTTTTGTATAAAATTGCTGATGATCTTTACTTCAAATAAATAAGTTCCGTCTTTTAATGCCGGTACGCTGAAAGCAGTTATTTATCATTTAGATACGAAATGCATTGCTGACGATGTTAGGAGCTGAGATTCAGTAGTAGGTCGGTTGCATGCGTATAAAAAGTTGTGACTATTTCTGTACAGCCAGTTGCCGCCACGGACACACTATACGAGAAATAAAACGGCGCCGTTTGCCATGTCGCTGAGCGCTCCCAACAAGTTTGTGAGAATGTGTGTCGCAAGCGCAGTGGCTATCCATGTCCGCATACATCACTGTTACCAAGCTACCAGCTATTTTATAAAGCGACGATGTAATGCATATGAAGCATGAAGAAATAATGCAAGATAGAAACTCCGTAAGCTACAACTGCAACGCGCGACTGAAATAGAAGACGATCAAAGAAATTGTTTTTGTACGTTATGCATTTTTTTTTTTTTTTTTGTAATACGTAAAATATTTCACACAGTACAAAGATAAAGCAAATTCGTATCAATCTTGCCATGGGTGACCTACATACCTAAATACTGCATTCTACTTTATACGTGCCTGTTACTCTGGATTAAAAATATTAAATTATATTTTTTGTTCACGCGGTTTTAAGTATTAATCAGAATAAACACAATATTTGTAGAAAATCCTTTTTATTGGCCTGCTGGAAAAACTGAGTGTTGGTTGTTTTAAGTGCAAACAAGAAGGGTAACACACAAACCAAGTGTTAAGGTGTAGCTGTAATACTTATTGAAATCTCCATAAGAATATATTTTATGTCAGCCTGAAATATACACAACACTCTGCTGTGGTAATATTCGCTAAATGAGCACGGAGCACAAAAAAAAACGAGTGATGTAGAGTGTAATATCTGAAAAACTATAAATAACGCTTTCTGTTCGATACGAGCAGAGAAAGCTATGGTGTTGCAACCGTGTTGGCCGACGTGTAGCCAAAAGGTTTCGTGACGACAATCTGTGCCTCTTGCATAATTTTCCGCGTTCACCACGATCACGATCAACCTCTGCGCGGCTTAACATCGAATATAAACGATTTCTCCAGTTAAGAAAGTAATATCTACTGCACTAACTCATTTACTGAACGAAGAATCCTCAACAGTTTTTATTATTGTTTACTTGTTTAAATATACATTTGTATACATGTTTATTTATATGCCGGTGGGCTGTTATATTACACCTACCAGTTCGAAGAAAGGAAAAATATCGAGGGCGTGTGAACAAA